AAAGATTTTATTGGGGAATTGGGAAAGGGGAACAGACAAGTTGCTGTCCTTTTGTTCTTCAGTCTAGTTGTGGAGGATGTTGTTTCACTGGCCCATGTTGGTATTATCATTGCGCTCTTCCCAGGTGAGGCAGATTGGTCGCCAGCCTCTGGACAGCCACTCACGGTAGCTTACAGCAGCCCACTGCAGCTTACACCATCACCGGCGACTCACGGCAGCCCAGCTCCAGGTCGAGCTGCCGTGCACCATCTTAGCTGTAGAGGGCAGTGTCACAGGCCCTCATGTGGGATCCGAACCGGGGCCCTGCTGTTCAGAGCTGGTGTCCCAAGCCAGCTCTTAACCAACACGCCACTCGGGCGGCCCTGAATGGGGTTGAATTTTGTCAATAAATACTGTTAATATATTTTCTCTTCCTTATGATTTTAACACTTTTCCCTCTGAGAGCTTACTTTATTGTGAGAATACAGTCTATAATACATCTGAAATACAAAATACATGTTAATCAACTGTTTATGTGACCGGTAAGGTTTCTGGTCAGCAGTAGCCATACGCAGTTAAATTTGGGGGGAGTCAAAAGTTGAATGTGGGTTTTCGACTGCATGGGGTTGGCGCCCCATCCCCTGCGTTGTTCAGGGGACACTGTAACTCAGTTTAATGAGGATACAAATACATTTCTCCAAAGAAGACATACAAATGGCTAATAAGCACACTGAAAAATGCTTGCCGTGACTCGTCATCAGAAAAATGCAAACCAAAAGCAGAGCGAGGCACCTCTGCAAGCGCAGGACGGCAGGAATAGAGGACAGGGAGCGCTGGTGGGCTGTGAGCCTGGACACTCACACACAGCCGGCGGGAACGAACGATGGTGCAGGCGTGTGGGAGACAGTTGGGCCCGTCCTGAACAGGTAAAGCGGAGGGCCCCCATTTGCCCCAGCAAGCCCTCATAGGTATGTGCCCAGGAGAAATGGAGATGTGTCCACACGAACACCTGTGTATGGATGGTCATAGGAGCCACACCCATAGCAGCCCGCATCCATAAACTGATGGATGGATAGGCCAGACACAGCATAGCACCATTCGGCCACAAAAGAAGACGGTGACGCTGCGCACGAGGACCCTCAGACAGCCTGTGTGAAGGAGGCACACTGAAGCTCGCTGGATTGTGCAAAGTGTCCCCAACAGGCCAGTCTCCGGAGGCAGGTCATTGTGGGGGAGGGGCCCTGGTCAGAAGTGACTGCTCAGGGCCCAGGGTCTCTGCTGGAGGCGATGACAATGTTCCAGAATTGACGGCGGCTATGGCTGCACACAGCTGCGAGCACACCAGGAGCTGTAGAAGGGTGTGTACCTGAACTTCAATAAAACCGTTTACAAATAGGGACACCCAGTGAGGGAATGAGCAGACAAGCTACAAATTAGAAAATAAGAATATTTGGCTAATTAAAGCAAAACCAGTAACGATGTCTCAAGAGAATAAACGACAGGAATAGAATGTTTGACAATCCCGGACAGCTTTGGGGGGTGGAATCCTGTTGGCAGCTCTTAGTGGGTGTGAAACACTGTGACGTCACTCAAAGACACATATTGTAACCCCCAGAGCAACTACTGAAAAATGTAATGATACGAAACCAAGGATAGTCTACAAGAGGCCCAACCTGTCGTCTTCAAAAGTGTCAAGATTGTGAAAATCACAGACACACGTGTTCCAGATTGAAGACGCCTCCAGAGACGTGACAACTAAAGACAACAGGAGCGTCGCTGGGTGGAGGCAGACGTGTCAGTCTGAGGCCTGTGTGCGGGCAGTGCCGCCTGGTGCCATCGGTGACATCTCCGTCCATAGAAGGTCCTTTTTTGCAGGAACGGTGGGGCATCCGTTTGGCAATGTATTCTCAGATGGTTCAGAGAACTGCACTTGCAGTTTTTCTGTAAGTTTGTCTCAAAATTTAAAAAGATGTTAAGCCAACGAAACCAAATCCCATGAAGTACATGCTGCACGGTTCAGATTAAATTCCAGAGCCAGAAACGCCCACCTCTGATGACAAGGGCAGATCAGTGTCTCCTGGGGCAAGGCGGCTGCCTGCAAAGGGAAGTTTCTGGGTAATGAAGACGTTCTTTGTGGTGGTGGGTACATGAGTGTATACATGTGTCAAAAATCACGGAACACTTCAAATGAGTACATTTTTTGATATGTAAATTTTATCTCAATAAAGTTGATTTCAAAAGTTTCAAACAATCCATCAGTCTCTTTTGTGGGGATTGATTCGCCAAATCTAAAATTCAAAGGGCCTAGGAGAGCCGAAATCGTCAAATAATCACCTTTAAGAACAGGGCTGGATGTTACCTGCACGGGACTGGCACCTGCCAGGAAGCTTTAGTATTAACCGGGGTGAAGACAGTCAGACAGCTCAAAGGAGCAGAACGGTTCATGTCCAACATCAAAACCGCTCTAGGAAGCCGCCTGTGCCTCTCAGCGGGAGGAGGAAAGGCATCTTGAAAAGTCATCTAATGAGGGCCAGAACAGCTGGACACCCACAGTTGAAAATCTCTACCTCACTCTATTCACAGAGATTCATGTAGGCTGGGCCATGTACCGAAACATAAAATCTAAAGCTATAATGCGTTAGAAGAAAACAGGAGAGTATCTTCTCAAGCCCAGTGTTGGCAAGTCACCTTGGGATGGAAAAAATACTAACTAAAGAGAAATAAGAAAACTTGGACTTGGCCAAACTAAAGCAAATGAACAGGGGGTTACAGACTGTGATAAAATGTTCAAATGCTTCTGACAAAGGACTTGTATTTAGAATACATAAAGAACTACAGTCCATAATGGAAAGACAGCCTAACTGAGCAAATGAACAGAAGATGCGAAGATGGACCCACAGCCGTGAAGTCCACACCATCAGTCGTGGGGGCATCGGGTTAAACACACGATGAGATCGCTGCACACCCAGAACAGATCAAATTAAAACGCCTGGAAACTCACTGTCACTGGAGGTGTGAGGCCAGAACTCTCATGTGACTGATGTGAATAACATGATGCAGTCACAGGGGACCTGACTCAGCGAGCCCATGGAGGATTTTACCCGAAACACAGAAATCCGTGCACACAGCTGCTGTCTTGAGAGTTGCCAAAATGGGCACCATGACGAGCGTGCATGGATGGACAGACGAGTCCATTCCTACTGGATTCCAACAATAAAAAGGGCCAGTACTGACTCTTCAGAAAAATGTGAGCAGAGAGAAAAGGCTGAGCAAGAGAAGCGAGACGCTGAGTAGTCTAGGGCGCTGGACTATGTGATGCCCTAGATCACAAACAACTCATCTATGTGAGTCAGCCAGCCAGGCTCCTGGAGGGGACCCCAGGAAGGGCCAGGAGGGATGGGCTGGGGGGTGGGCCAGGCGGCAGAGGCCTTTGTCAGGACTGGCTGGGCTGCATGTGGAAATTACTTCACCAAGTTCAACTTATCTTTTTCCACTGTGGTTGGCATTTTCTCCAACCCAAGGTGTCCTCGCTTACCTCACTTTAAAAATCTGAAATTTATACTGTTATTTCACACCAAATAAATCCCACCTGGATTCAAAGGCCAAACTTTAGACAATGTTTTTATAATTTGGAGGTGGAGGTCTTTCTAAATATAGTACACAATCAGAAGTCACAAGACAGGTTTTACCACATAAAAATTTTAAATTCATCGTGGGTACGAAGCTACACTATATAAAGAGCTCACACAAATCAGTAAGTGACATATAAACACCACGATCTGGCACACAGGCAGCTCACACAGGCAGAAAGGCAAGTCTGTAAGAGACACACACTTGGTAAGTCAACAAGCAGAGCTACACACGGTCACACGCGGAGGCCACTGCTCCTCTGGACAATGAGGAGGCAGTGCCACAACGTTTGACGCCAGACGTGGGGAACACACTGCTGGGATTGGCCCTTTATGGGTGATTTGGTGACCTCAGACTTCTCTGAGGGGACACCGCAGACAAGGTCAGTAGGGCTCACTGCTGCGCAGCTGCGGGGACAGTCAGGGACCTGCCCGGGTGCCCCTGAGAGCCCAGGCTGCTCAGTCCCCAGCAGGCGGCTTGACAAGGGGCCTTTCCAGGAGTTTGTTTTCTTCCGGGTCTGTCTGTAAACGTGTCGTTTGGATTTGGGGCCATGAAGGTGTGACTGGTACAGAAATAGTTGGAACCTTGGACTCTGCTCCTATTCCAGCGTTTCGGTGGCTGCCCCCCCATGGCTTTCACCTGCCCTGCCCCCAGAGGCGGCACCGGCCTGCAGGGGGTGCCCTTTGGAGCAGAGAACCCCCAGGGCTCTCCCCTCAAGCCCCACCCACGTTTCCGATGGTCACCGCCAGGACCAGGTGACACACACACAGCAGCCCTAGGCAGACATCATGCTCCTCAAAGCCAAACCCCGGAGACTCAAAATGGCTGAACTTCATGTAGTGGCACCTACTTAGAGGGTCCCCTCACCCCAAACGTTTGAACGACACTGGATCCTGAAAGCTGTCTGTACACCCAGCACCTGACCCCGGGCCACCGGAGTGCAAACCACCAGTCACTGCAGCCCAGGGGTTCTGGGGGGGGAGGGCCGCAGGGCCTGAAATCCAAGCCCCAGGTGGACCCTACCCAGAATTGGTGACAGGCCCCTAGGGCCAAGCCCCAGGCCCTGGCAGAAAGGTGCAAGTCCTCTTAGTTGGATCTGTCCCTCCGGGCGTAGGCCACCAGCCTGGCAGTGACACAGCCGGACCAGGGCGCAAAGGAAAGGTACCTGGCCTGGGCCATTTACCAAGCGCGCAGCGCGGCTGCCGTGCGGGAATGTGTCTGACCTGCGTGTGTGAGAACAGAGCATTCTAGCTTTTTTTGCTGAGTCTGCAGGCTCCCTGGGACCCACGCCAGCCCTGCTCGGCGGCCTCGGCCGACCCCGCAGGAAGGGCTCCGGCCTCATCGGCCTCATTGTGTCGAAACGCAGAACAGTCCAGATTCTGGGGACTTACCTGGTGCTGCCATCAGCCCCCGGAAAGCCGTCTGGGCCTCAGCGCCTGGCGCTGGACACACACGGACCGGCACGTACATGTTCGCGCACGCTTCCAACATCAGCCGGGGACGGGGCAGGCGTGTCTTCTTAAGGACAAAATGTCTGGGATGAGGAGGAAGCGGCAGCTACGCCGTCTGCCCTGGGCCCACCTGCTCAGACCTGGGGCACCGGCCCAGCAGCGTGCCCACCGGAAGGAAGTGTAGGTGTTTTGCAGAAACAAGCTGGAGCGTGATATCATAATAAAAGCCTCATTTAAAGTATCTTTTTCTTTTTATTGATTTCATTGAAAACAGAACAAGAAATGGTCTGAGCCAAAAGACTGCTCTTAAAACTGTCAAAAACATTTTAACAGAAAAAAATAAACATGACTGCATTATGAATGTTTTAGAAGAGTCGCACAAAAAAAACCCCACTGTTACTGTACTAGTTACAGTATTTAAAAAAGTATATGCCAAAAAAAGGATATGACCTGGCAGGCCACCACACAAAAGGTGACGGCAAATTTATTCACACTACAAGACTAACATTTTAAAAAAGCTTCTTCCTGCACTTGATTCTAAAATCACTTTGTTCTCTTTATACAGCTGAGAGTTTATTTTCACATGGTGAGTAGAAACCACACCAGAATCAGCACCGTTGTCTGTGTTTTGTGTTTTTATTTTTTGTTTGTCCTAATGTTCAATAATGGTAGAAAATAAATCAGTTTATTCATCATCATAGCATGTGGCTTAAAAATCAGCACAGGTGCCAGCGGCACCACACCGGTGGGGCTGGCGGGGCCTCCGTGGGCCGCGGCCTCTCGCCCCCCGAGGTGCTTCCTCCAGCAGGAGCGTGTTGAGGGCTGACATACAGGACCAGACACGGGGTCTCTTTAAAAAGCAAGCCCACATTTTCTCCAGTCAGTGGCAGCTTGGCCCGAACCCTTAGATGGTGGTGGGGACAGTGTCTGAGCGGGCGGGCGGGCCTCACGGAGCAGCTTGCAGGTGGCAGTGGCTTCAGCAGGCGCCACATGGAGGAGTCTGAGCTGACAGGACGTTGCCCACAAGCCCTGCAGTGGGACGGGAACCGCGGGGAGCAGGGAGAAATGAGAAACGTGGAAATGACAAAACCACCATCAGGACTCACAAGGGTAGGCCAGTGCAGGGTCCCAGCGAGCCCGGAGCGACGGCTCCCGGCGGAGGCCTGTCTGCGCCGCCCGCCCACCCGCCGGATGCAGCCAAGCCAGACCCGCACACGCAGCTGCCCTTTCTCTTCGCCCCTAAACCGCGGTACAAACAGTGCCAGCTGCAGTTCATCGGGGGTCGGTGGTGGGGGAGCTGGTGTCCGGCAGGCCGTCCTCCTGGGCCTCCTGGGCGGCACTGGCCTGCCGCTGGGCCAGGGCCGTGCTGGAGTGGCGGCACTTGGAGGAGCCACAGCGGCAGCCGAAAAGCTTGCCTTTGATGTCCCAGAAGCGCTCCCCATAGTCGAACCTGTAGAGGGAACAGGGCTGAGGCCGCTGGTGGGGCCAGTGCTGCCCAGTCGCCGCCAGCCGGCCTCAGTTGGGGTTGGGGAACACAAACCACCGAGGACCTGCCCATGTCAACCAGGGCGTGTGTGTGCCCCAAAGGCAGCGCCTGCACGCGGTCCCCACACCTACCCCAGCTGCTCCCCAGCCTCGATTAGGCGGGTGCTGAAGAAGGCGATCCTGGGGAACCGCAGGTCCTGGTGGGACATGAAGACGCGCACGGGCACCAGGTTGGGCTCGCAGTGGTGGTTTATGAAGCGGCTGACGTTCCCGTAGAACCGAGCGTCGATGCAGTACACCTCTCCATCCTGCGGGGCGAGGACAGGCATGGGGACACGGCGTGTGACAGTGGGGACCCTTGTGCTGCTGGTGGGCGGCACACAGCCCACCGCCGCCCAGGGTGGTTGGAACTGAGGGAGCCCTAAATGGGCGCAGCCGTCCTCACCGGAAAAGCCACTGCCAACCCCACCGGTGTCCCAGAGAGAAGAGGCAGGACTGCGGGGCCACACTGCTCTCCAGACACTTGCTGATGCCAGTAGGGCGAGGCGGGGGGCATGCTGGGCAGGTGGGGCAGAGGGACAGACAGAGGGACGGATGGATGGAGGGATGGACAGAAAGGGAAGCTGTGCTCAGGCCAAGGCTGGTGGTTACGGCCGTGACACACAAGTCCATGATGTCCTGTTGGCCTGGTGGGCGCACAGAGGAAACAGGACGTAGGTGGCCCACAACCCTGCCCCCAGCCTGACTGCCTGACGATGGTTCTCAGCAGAGCTGACGGTGAGAAAGGCCCATTAGCTGGGGGCCGGACCCAACCTCATGAGCCCTCTAAAGGCAGAGTTTTCTCCGCAAAGGCCCACTGTGACAGCCAGCAGGGGCTGTGCAGCCCGCTCGAGCCGTAGGCAGGTTCTCCCCAGATCACCGCCGGCAGCCCGGGGGCGGAGCAGGGAGCACAGAGGGACGTGCCTGGCGGAGGCGGCCGTCTGGCAGCCCCACTTCTTCTTCTTTTCTTTTTAAGATTTTATTGGGGAATTGGGGGAGGAGAACAGCACTGGGGAATCGAGGAAGGGGAACAGACAAGTTGCTGTCCTTTCGTTCTTCGGTCTAGTTGTGGAGGACGTTGCTTCACCGTCCCATGTTGGTATTATCATTGCGCTCTACCTGAGTGAGGCAGATCGGTTGCCGGACATTGGACAGCCGCTCACGAAAGCTCACAGCCGCTCACGAAAGTGCACATCCGCTGCCGGACAGCCTCACTGCAGCCTACGCCGTCGCTGGCGACTCTCGGCAGCCCAGCTCCAGGTCGAGCTGTTGTTCACCATCTTAGCTGTAGAGGGCGCAGCGTCACTGGCCCTCATGTGGGATCCGAACTGGGGCCCTGCTGCTCAGAGCTGGCACCCCAAGCCCATTCCTAACCAACGCGCCACTCGGCCGGCCTGCAGCCCCACTTCTTGCTGAGCCCCCATGGCACAGACTCAGACTAAACCTGCAGATCACCCCACCCTGAAATGTGCAGCTGCAAACCTGGAAAAATCCACAAGGCTGGGCCACAGGTGCCAGAGTGAGAGCAGCAACTCTGGAGGCAGGACTGTGCCTGCACAGGGCCGAGGGGCCCGGGGTCATGAGACAGCAGCTGGGAGCTCAAGACTGTGGACAATGGTGGCGCTTCAACTCGGGCCCACAAACCTCGCCCTGACCGGAGCCAGGCTGACTACACGGGCGGGACAGGGACCGAAGCTTCCACGTGAGAGGCAGTGCCTGTGGTCGGCAGAACAATAAAACCAACGGCACACGTCAGAGGACGCTGGAGTCGCCTACAAACCAGCACTTGCGACCAAGAAGACGGCATGTTCTGAAGAGCAGAGAAAAGTCACAGAGTCCTTCCCTGAACCAAAGCAGACACTGCACGAACACGAGGTGACCAGCTGCCACTAAGGGTCCTCAACCAAGCAACACAAAGCACGAAAATCTCAGTGAAATGGGAGATCTCAGCAAAGAAACAGAATAACAGAATCAAATGGAAAGTCCCATCACAATATCCTGGCTGTTGACAGACCCTAGGCCCTGTGTGGGGACAGCAAATGTCCCACAAAACGTCTCATGTGTTGAACGATTCATGGGGAACATGACTGCAAATAGCAGAAGCTGAAATCAGACCCAAAGCCCCCAAAACAACGAGAAAGATCGCTATGCACTGACGACGTAGTGACTGTTAGCGCCCTGTCCCGGGCCACATGCAGGGGCAAGACTGACATCTGCCATCCACCTTCTCTCCAAGAAGGGCAAGGAGATAACAGATGTTCGAAGATACTTCTGTTTCTATCCACTGTCACCTGCAGCAGCGTGGGGACTGGTGACCAAATACAGACAACAAGACAGAGACAGACTGTAACTTTTACTTTTAAAGCATGTAAACATTTTAACAATTACACCTAGAAAGATATTAAATCCCAGACACTAACATCAACTGAAACACATGAACGCAGCTGCACGCAAGCTGGGCCGGATGCGCACACAGCCACGTTCGTCCTCGTGACCCACGCTCCCATAGCACAGCCGCTGCTGGCCGTGATACCAGTGATGAGGGTTCAAAAGTTATGTCGTGAGGAAGCAGCATTTTCTCTGTAAGTTGGGCAAAACCCTGTAATGTTAAATCTGAATTGGGAATAGCAACCTGAAAGCCTCTTTTAAAATGTGTTTTGCGAGGGTCCTGTCCTCTGAAAAACGAGTCCAGAGCCAGTGGTGCCCGAGGTACCAACACAATGAACACACGAGCTCGTCCCAACGGTTCCCACTGGCCAAACATGGGACAACTGAAGCATCAAAAGAAGAATGATGACAAGTGGACCAAACACAGAGAGTGTCAAACAATCCCTGAGTCCTAACGTGCAAAACAGCACAGGAAAGAACAGCCCACGTCCCCTTGCCAGCGGCCATTCCCGCCTCTTTTCTCAAGGTTGGTCACTCCCTCCTGTGCCCTGGGGACAGCAGGCCTCTCTGGGGACAAGCAGCCGGGGGAACCCACCCACCCCTCACGTGCAGAGGCCCAGCTTAGGTCCTCTGCCTACGGGCCTGGGCCCCACGCCCCGACACGCATGCGGCCCGCACCTCCTGCCACCTTGGACAGTGCCTGTGACAGTGAAACATCTGTACTTTGTCCTGAGCTTTGGCTGCGTGCTGCCTGCACACAGCTCAGAGACTTGCAGGGGTGACAGCCGCCGTCCCGGGAGCAGAGAGCTCCTTCTAGACCTGCCCGCCGCACGGCCGGGTCACACCGATCCTCCTCCACATGGACGCTGTGTCATTCCCGTTACCGACACCACCCAGGTCTCTGAAGTGTGTCCTTCCTGACCCCACACCTGGCCCTCAGGCTGCCCCACAGCCCAGATGCGGAAGTATGCGGGCACCCTGCCTCACCACGGCACACAGGAAGGAGGTGGCAATGGGGCAGGGCAGGTGGGCGTTCAGAAGGTCCTAGAATAGCAAGGAGAGGGACACACCCGGGGCCCAAGGGCAGTCCAGGCTGAAAGAGTGCAGGTGGCCCGATCCAGGAAACATCCTGCAGGCAGAGTCGGAAAGTTTCCCGATGGCGGCGAGGGGCGAGGGGGGAGGCCCAGCAGCGAGGTCACTGTGACATCAGTGCTGCGGGACACGCGGGTCTCAGAAGCTCAGGTGTGTCCATGGCTCTTCACAAACCTGGAATGGACTAGTCACAGAGTGAGGACGGAAGGAGCACGCTGGCTGGACTGGGGCTGGGCCCAGGGAGGAAGACGCCGAGCCGCCAGGTGGGCGTCAAGGGCCCGACCCACCAGGGCTGCAGCCAGGCGGGGCCGGCAGACGAGGAGCCCGAAGACGTGGAACCTGGCGGAGGCGCCGGGGGCCACACTCAGCGGGGGACTAGTGAGGCTATGGGTGTGGTGCCCCTGCGAGAGGCCGGGAACTGACAGACTCACAGCCACTGGACGGCAGGACTTGGTGTCTGTTCAGTCTGGTCATTGAGTGGGCTTGGGGTCTGCTGTCTGTGCTACAAGTGCCTGGCCCAGAGCAGGCTGGGAGGACAGCCGGAGTCCTTACGGACAGGTGAGAGGGGGCCTGTCGGGGACTCGGCGCCTGGGGACTCGTCTGACATAGGGACAGAGCCAGCTCAAGAAAACGCCAGCCAATACACTGCTCAGGGGCAGGTTGGGGACATCCAGGAAATTCCCTGCCCCTCCTCTTCCCTGAGCAGCAAGTCCTCAGCCACCCAGTCAGAGGACATTGGTGACAGCTACAACCTCGAGCTGCTATGAAGAGCACACAGGGCCAGGGTGAATGGCGAGTCAGACCACTAACTGGTGCTGCTGGGGCTATCCAGAAAGGCCTGACAAAATGAAAGACAGACAAAGACAGTGTCTGCCTAAAGGCCGGGGGACCCACACAGTGGTGAGGGGCCCACAAGGGCCAGTAGGGGGGTGCGCCTCCATAAGGGGACCACGCAGGGTCCAGGGTCCAGTGAGTCCTCCTCACTGAGGGCTGGGACCCTGAGGGCTGCACCCATGGCCGAGGGTCAGCAAGAGTCAGCAAGGGTGAGGGTGAGCAGGCAGACGGCCGGGGCGCCGAGTCTCGCTGCAGCTCTTCACACAGATGTGAAAACCCACGTGGGACACACAGCGAACACTGGGAGGGGACATGGAGATGGGAGGACAGCAGGCAGGAGACACCGGACTGTGGCTCAGACACAGCAGGTGCTACGCACAGGCACGTCAGCTGGTGACAAGCTCAGACCAGACTGGCCACACACATCTTGTGGGTCAAAACACACGTAAGACTGTGACCCAGCACCAGTGGCACAAAAATAATCAGATTATTCACCACATCTCTGAACAAGGAGAAAAAGCACAGGATCATTTCCACAGATGCGGAAAACACTGACCACAATTTAACTTCCACCCGTGAAGCTCTGGCTGACCAAGTGCCAGCGTCCCACGTGAGCCTGGGGTTCCGGAGGCTCCGAGTCAGGATGGCATGGCGGCCAGAGGTGACGACAGTGGGAAGGAACCCGTCTGCTGATGACACGATCCCGTCCACAGAAAACCAACACAAGTCACAAATAAACACGTTTAGTCAGTGAGTTCAGCAGGTCACAGAAGGAAGTTAGCTGAGAAAGCTTAACCTGATTTTTATACTCCATGCAGCTGAGTTAGGGTAAAACACAGCACTTACAGGAGCAGGGAGGTCACCACACCAGGGACCCTGCTCCTACCACAACGGGACGGTGGGTACCAGACCTGCCCCTCCCAGAACCAACAGACGCCGGGCAGAGAGCCACGGGCACATGCCCAGCAGAGAGGTGACACACCCGGCAAACCTTCACACGGACGCTCTAGCAGCGTTAGCTCCCAGCAGCTGGACGGAGCCCCAGTGCCTGTCAGCCGAGCAAAGTGTGGGTGACCCCAGAGGGAGGCTGCTGACCGCGGCAGCCAGACACGGGAGCACACAACACTCGGTGAGTCTTGGCAAGTTGCTGCTTGAGGGAAAGTCGTCGGGCACAAAAAGCTGCCCGCTGAGCGATCCCATCTACTGGACACTGTGGAAAAGGCAGGCCTGCAGGGACAGAGGCAACAGGGTGAGCCAGGTGGCAGGCAGGGGGCGGTTCCAACGGCCCGCCTCACACTCGCAGGACCCCACCCTGTGGGTCTGGGACAGCCTGTGGCTGCTTCTCAGCAACATGGCGAAGGCCACTCGTGTGACCATATCACGTCGGGTGAGGCTCTGACACGCAGCCCCCTGCTGGCCTTCACGTGCCTGCTGCACCAGGGCCCACAGGCAAGGAGCTGTGCGGATCCTGGGAGCTGCCAGTGCACGGCTGGAAGCCCACCACCAAGTGGGGCCTGAGTCCTACAGCCATGAGCTGAGTTCTGACGACTGCCATGTGAGGCTCAGGTCCCCCGACCCAGTGTCCAGAAAGGATGCAGCCCAGAGGTGCCTGGATGACCCGGGAGGCCCTGGGCAGAGGGCCCAGCGCCGCCTGCCAACTCCTAGTTTTAAGGCTCTCGGCTCCTGGTCACTGGTCCAGCACCAACGGTGCAGGCACAGGACACAGCCGTGCAAACGAGAGGCTGGGCTTTCAGTGTGTAAGTGATGCCGCAACAAACCTGGCTCTTAAGAGATTAACAATAAACACATGGCAAAGCAGCACCAGAGAGTGCCAACAGGGCCACAAAAAGCCACAGCTTGAGTCGCCCTTAATGGTCAAAGCGCGCTTTCCCCCGAGGACAGACAAGGAGGCAAGGACGTCCCCCAGCCACGTGAGGCAAGGGCAAGCAGCAGTGTTAACAGGTAGGAAAGGAAGAAGTAACACTGTCCACTAAACACAAGACAGTCACGAATGCAGAAAATCCGAAGGAACCTTTGAAAGAGCTACTAGAATTAGCAAGTGGGTTTAGCACAGTCAGCATCCAAACCCCCAACCATCTCCATTTACTAGCATTAGGTGGAAATGCAATAAAAAGCAATACTGTCTGCAAAAGCATAAAAAGCGTGAGACACTTGGGAGTGAGTTTCAGGGGAGGTGCATAGGATCCATGCATGGAAAGCTGCAGCGCTCTGCCGACCCACTTAGCGGGACCAGTGGGACACACGCCAGGACTGAGAAGATGCCATGCTGTCCAGGCGCCAGCGCCCCGCACTGACTGCAGTCTGACCCAATCCCTCCCAGAACTCCAGCAGCCTCGCTTGAGCCGTCTGGTGTCGGCTCTAAACGTACACGAAAACGCAGAGCACAGAAGGAGCACAACGGTTTGGAAAAACAGCGTCTGGAGAGCTAATGCCGCCTGGTTTACAGGTGGACGCTGAACTGACTGCAGTCAGGAGAGTGGCGTGGGCCTGAGGGTCAGCGGACAGGTGGGAGGACTAAGCACAGGCCGACAAAGGCCTCCCTCCAGGTCTGGAGCAAGCTGTTCACGTGGATGAACCACCCTTACGCAAACCACACGACGTGAGCACAGGACGAGCCACGGCTCTGGAGGGGAGGAGCCCGCAGAAGAGGAAGGTTTCTCGTGACAGAGCAGTGAACAGCGACAGATGTCACTCAGAGAAGGAGCCGAGGCTGGGAGAGGCCGCGCGCACATCCGACCAGCAGAAACCAGCAGCCCAACGCGACGACGGCAAAACACCTTCAGGTTTCTCCAGAAAAGAAGGTCTAAGAGGCCACAGCCTATGAAAGATACCCACGTCCACGGCCCCCGGGCACTGCTGGACCCTCCTCCTGGGTGCAAAGGCCGGTGCTGCCATTTCTCAGGCCACTAAACACACACGCGCCAGATGGCAGCCCTCCTGCTCCCAGGAAGTCGCTCGAGAGAAAGAAAAGCACACACATCCACTAACGCAGGTCTGTGAACGTTCACAGCAGGCCAGCGCATTGCTACACCGGCCCACGCACGCAACGGGCAAACCCACATGGCCGCCGGGGGGACACTCGGCCACAGAGACACACGGCCACTTGGGCAGGTCACAAAGCAGACAGGGAGGAGTACACGCTGTGGTCCCAGTCAGGAAACCTGGACGCAGGTGAGGCTCTGGGGGCCCGGAGTTCAGGCGACGGAACGTTCCGTGGTGTTCTGTGGTGATCACATTTGTCAAAACTAAGGCCACACACTTAAGTTTATTATGTGTAAATTAATCACAACAAAGTTGACTCCCAAACAAAAAATATCAAGAACATACTGCACAAAAAAATCCACCAAGAGACCACCATAAAACATCTGGGGGCTCAATGCTGTCCCCATGAAACCCCAACAGAAGTCTGTGGAACTTGTTAAAACTCACAGAAACTGCAAGAGTGGCGAGCAGGTGTGGGCCAGGGCAGACAGCGCTGCCGACAGCCGCTGTGCCGAGACGACAATCTCAGAATAAGGGGAATGAGGCAGGTGAGTGAGTGTAAAGGCAGAAGCGTAGCCCCAGGCAGCACAGGTCCGTATGGAGGCCTAAGGTCTGAAAAAACTTCATCTGGGACACGACAGAAAGCCTCGGGGACTGAGAGCGAGTGACAAGCTGGACTATGACAGAAGTACGAACTGTCACCAGGAAGGAAACGTGCCAGGGGACAGCATGGGCAGTCCCGTGCCCCAGAGGAGAACTACCCTCCCCTGCCCCCCCACCCCCGGCAGGGCCTGGAGCTCCAGGAGCTTCTGAAACAGGCGACTTAGTGATAAAGGAGCTGACCTGGGAGTCAGGGGAAAGCGGGGGACAAAGGTCTCGGCCACCCCTGGGGACACCACGGTGCTGGCCTGCACGAAAGCACTCAGGAAGACACCCAGGGACACGGCACGCACACCACCCTGGTCAGGTGGGTGGCCCCTGAGCCCCATGCGAGGCTTGCTCCTGCTTCCCACGGTCACTGCACACACATGGACCCCAGCCTGGCAGTGTGTGTAGACTATGGGCTCCAGCAGGGACGAGAGGCCGGGGGAGGTGCCCGCCACCCTATGCTCTGATACGAGGTGAGCTGCACAAACTGAGAGACCTCCCGGCTCAGGGGTCCTGACCGAAGACACTGTCTGAGCCCGGAGCACAGAGGCTGCGCTGAACAGAGGGAGGCACTGGATGGGCACGTGCGTTTGTATCCCAGCTCAGGCCCCGCCAGGATGCACGGCCCTGCCAGGACGCCCGCCCGCTGTGCAGTCCCTTTGCATCCATCCTCAGCGTTACCTTGTTGTCGAGGTCAAACAGGTATGAATCCTCTTCCCGGACGTCGGCCTCGGAGTCAGAGATGAGCTCACCCACGTACCTGGGGGTGAGAGGCCAGCACTCACTGTCCACCACTGCAGAGCACGGGAGCCGTGACACAGCTCACAACATTGGCTAAATGTGCTGCAGGGCTACGCCTGTGACTGAGCTGAAATTTAACTCTGGAGCCCGGAGGACGACACGGAAGCCCCCTGTGACCAGGGACCCAGAAGGCCACCCTCTGACGTCACTCTGTGAGTCGTTGAGCTGGTGAGAGCGCAGGGAGAAAACCAAAGGGTGCCGACAGCGTGTGTGAGCCGGTTTCAGGGAGCCTGCGGGGCCCGGGACGGCAGGGCTCAGCAGCAGGTTGGGTAGCATCCCACGGTGCGGGTGGGGTGGGGTGCGGGGTGGGGGTGCAAGACGTGGCAGCAGCAGGTGGCCAGGGCCCACTTACTCGCAGACGAAGGTGCCCGCGGGGATGTCCTGCAGGGACCGCACGCCCCAGCCCATGTTCTCTGTCCGGTAGAGCTGCAGCCTCGCCCTGGAAACAGGCCAGCACTCAGGGCCACAGCACAGCACAGCCGCGTGTGACACGGCACAGGACACAACGCCCAGGAAACATGCCGGCCCTTCTGGAAGCCTCAGAACCTCACTCTGGGGGCAACTCCTACTACACCCCAGGGGTGCCGTGGCTTTACCCCCTCAAATCAGTCTGACTGTCAGCACCTGGAACACAGCCGCTGGCCCTTCTGGTGCCTCAGTTTCCCCATCTGTAACATGGGGACATGTCTGGGCCAAGCCACTATGTTGCCATGAGGCCCAAAGGGGCTGATGCTTCTGCTGAGCCCAGGCTGCGGCACAGGTCAGCTTGGGCAGTGTGCCAACACAGGCACGGAGCGGCCCCCGGGGCGGGCTGGGGAACCCTCCCAGGCCCCAGAGCCACAGGCATCCCATCTGCCTGTCTGTGTGACTGGCGGCCCTAACGAAAGATGGGCATGTCCGTCCTCACCCCCAAACGAGGGTGGGGACATGGGGGCTGCTCTAGGGTTGCCGATTATAAGAAAACCACGAGCGTGGAAACCAGTGCTCAGCTCCACTTCCATGGCACACACACTGTCCCCTGTACTCGGCGGGAACTTCAGATCTTCCAACTCTCGGGCACGCAGGAGGGCAGGCTCGGGCCCAGGACCCAGGGTCTGGCTCTGGGCGCTCGGGGGCGCTGAGGAGATGGGGTGCTGGGTCCAGGCGGTTCAAGGTGTTTTATAGCAGAGAAACTCGGGGGGCCAAGGCACTCAGGACAGGACTCGACTGTGTGTACATGGGTGACACAGGCACGTGCGTCAAGCCCAGGCCCGGGCCCGCGGCTCCTGTCACCGACACGGTGTCCTCCCTGGCCTCAGGCCCAGGTCTGAGCTGGAAGCACTTGACTGTCATCACAGCAACTCACAATGTCACCGGAGGCCAGACGGCTCACGGTGAGCTGTCACCTCTCGTGCATGCCCCAGAAGCCCCGGTGCTTCACACGGTCCCGGGCACTCACCGCAGGCCGTTCTGCACGACGCGGTTCCGGCAGCTCCTCCAGCAGGAGCAGGCGTGGTTGCACTCGAACAGTAAGGGCGGCTCCGCCATGTTGAACTCAGGCAGCAGCCGGCCGTCCTGGGGACAGATGGCCGTCAGGCCTGAGCAAAGCCCACCACACCTGCCTGCTCAGCTGACAGCAACACTCTACCAACAGCAGCACTGACTTCAAGACCCTGGCTTCTGACGTGGTGGCCTCCCACCTAACCCCCGGCTCACTCAGCCTCAGGAGGACATGTGGCACACTCGGCCATGCTGCCCTGCCAACCCCCAGCTCTGGGAGAACCCCACCACCTGCTGTCCTGTCCTACAGCCACCAGACGATGCACCAAGGCATGCGAGCCAAGTCTGAGCGCCACTGTCTGCTCTGAACAGGAGGACTTCACTCAAAGCACTCGTCTGGTCACCTCTCGGCATGGCCCGGCTCCACGGAGCACACCGCCAGATGCGAGGCCGCCGTCCCCACGCCCACCCATGCCCTTTCCTCTGAAGCTGACTCTTGGAGCGTCTTTGCCTGAGGCCTCCACTTACAGCCCATGCCCTTGGCACCCAGGACACCCTAGCTTTGGCCCCCACCAGGCCTCTGAACTCCCAACATGAAGGACGGTCAGGGTTCTGGTCTCGGACATTGGCCTCTGGAACCCTTTTTTCCTCGTCTTTAAGCTGCCTCCAGGCAGGGTGCATGGACAGCCACCCCTGGCCACCCCAGTACCTGCAGGCTTGTCCCCACGCCCTGCCTCGGTCCAGCCTCCTATGTCTCCTGTCTGTCGCTCCTCCCACCTGGTGCCCACGCCTGGCTCCCCTGGTAGGCGAGAATGAGGGCAGCCTCACCTTAGCAGAGGGACCGCACGCGGGGGAACTCACCTGGTCATACCAGCAGCGGATGCTGAGCTGGCCGCACATGCAGTTGCTGGAGGAGCAGTCATCGGTGCACACGCAGTACTGGGGGAGGGGAGGCGTCAGGCGGGCACAGCGTCACCCCGCACCCCGTCCACAGCCCGAGCCACCCTCAGGCCTGGCTTTTCCTCTGATCCCTGCTTTCTGACAGCCACGCTCACTCCACACGGAGGGGCGGCCTCACTCGCTGCTCGGTTCCCAAGGGCACTGAGGGCACGTGCGGCCGCTTAGGGAAGTGGAGTGTGGGCACGAGAGCCCGCTGGGCCACTGAATGCTTGTGGGGGGGGCTGGGCGAGGACGCCTGGGGGAAGCAGGATGGTGGGGGACACAGCCCCAGGAAAAGGCTGCTCTAGGGGAAAGGCCAGGCCAGAGCCACAGCTGACCCCGAGGGCAGGCGGATGGCACACGCAGCCGACTCGGCGCGCAGGAGGAGCAGGCTGGAAGCATGGGCGCAGAGGCCGGGACACAGCCCGCAGCACCGCTCTGGGGTCAGGGACCCGTACAGGACGCGGCTGCACTTTCTGGAGGGTCTGTATCTGCCTTCCAGCTGTACGGTGGGGGAGCCCATGGACCACCCCCACCTCCCCGCCAGGGCTGCGGCGGCTGCTGACCTGCAGGTGGGTGATGTTTCTGTCGATGTTCATAGGGGACGTCACGCAGTTCTGGGACACGTACTTGTAGTTGCTGGGGCTCGGCTCACTGTCCACGGCGTTCACACAGGGGATGGGGATTCGCTCGTAGCCTCGAGCTATGTCTCTGCCACAGGAGAAGGGGACGTCACCCTCCCTGTGACAAGTGCCGCCCACTCGGGACTGGGCTTGGCCGCGTGTCGCAGCTCAGACCTCGTCCTCTAGCCCGGACGCCCTTCCTCAGAGCCTCGGGGTGCCTCACCTGCTCACCGTCCTCTCCGTGGGCACAGGCCTGTCTGGGGCCGCGTCTCGAAGTGCCTTGCTCATTTGCAGAGCATCCCACACCTGGGAATTGAGGCTGGCACACTGCAGGGCCGTCTCTCCCTCTTTGTTCTTCAAGTTCACATCTGAATCCCGAGAGAGAAAGAGGCTAAAAGGAAAAATGCAAGCCAACAGAACATTCGGGTCTTAATGTGACAGCCATGAGACGGGTATGAAGTGACACAGGCAGTACAAACGAGAAGGACACGCCACTCCCTCTGCACTTGACATGCCTGCAGCCGCTGCTTCAAGAGGGCCGGGCCGAAACGCACCGAGAGCACATGTCCTGACCCTCCCGCATTTCCTGGCAGCTCATATAAGTTTTCTCGGCAGGAAGAACAGAAAGCTTGAGGAACCTTATCTGTGGCTTTCCCACTCAAATGCGCCCTCGGACAGAAAGGGCTGTGATGATGGCGACCATGCACGCCCCGCGGCCATGTCCCTGCCAGCCCTGCCCAGGGTACCTCCCCAGCCCAAATAAGAGAGGGTGCGGGCCCCACTGCAGAGGCCTCCCTCATTTCCAGGGGAGGTGGGGTCAACCAGCAGAGCACAGAGGACTTCCCAGGACCCTGACCAACCCAAGTGTGAGTGACATGGGACAAAGGCCTCAAGGTTGCAAAAGGCTCTGAGCGGCCAGTGTCGACAACTCCAGCCCTTCCTGCTACTACCATTGGGCTCCCAGAGAGAGGCCGCCCCTCTGCAGGGGCGTCAGGGTGGGACCATCCCCACGCCTGACCACCATCCCCCCTGAACCACAAACACCCACGCTGACCTCGGGCGTGGGATGGGAAAGGCCTGTCTGCTCGCAGAACGGGACCCCTTGGAGGACATGGGCACCCGGGCACCCTGGCACCCCACCCCGGGAGCCTCACGGGGACCAACGGCAAAGCCACTCACACAACGCAGGCGTAGCGGTCCTCCCGGGCGGCGATGTGGAGGGGCGAGTCTCCGTGGATGTTCACGGCGTGCAGGTCGCACTTGGCGGCCAGCAGGATCTCGGCTATGTCCACGCAGCCCGAGAAGGCTGCCCAGTGCAGGCAGATGTTCTCCTCCTGCGTGGGACAGCGACTCTGAGACCCCGGGGTGCATCCTGCCCGCTTCCTCCTCTGGGACACGGGACAGCGACTCTGAGACCCCAGGGCGCATCCTGCCTGCTTCATTTTCATTGTAAAAATCATCAGGATTAGACCACCCCAAACACAACATTTTAACCTAACACTGGGAGGTGCTCTTCTTTATTTGTAAAAAGTATGTTCACTTTGGAATAGTTCATTGTAGGATAGGGTAATACTTGTGTAAGATTTGGCAAAGATGGACAAATTTGATTAAAGTAAAATTTGACTTCATAAAAGCCTCTTTAAAAAACAATAATTTTAAAGAAAAAGTAGAAAAATGTGTGCCATATATAAAATGTATGTGATTTACAATTTTCATAGTAAGTTTATTAGACCACTACAATTTTGGAAAAAACCAATGTGCAAAGGATAGGAAAATAAAAAAAACAACTGACCTGAGATAAAAGATGGAGAGAAAACATAAGCGCAAGGAACTGCTGACCGGGCCGACGTCCCGTCAGCACAGATCAGGACACTACATGTCACCTGCCACACTGGGGACAAACAGCAGCCCGTGGTCGACCTGTGCCAGGGGTTGGGGTGTACCCTGACCCCACGGGCGAGTGAGCGAGCGAGGCGGCCACCCTGCACTGACCACCCAACAGCGCTCGAGCTCACGTCTGCGCTATGAGACTCATCGGTGCCTTTCCTTTCTGAGCAGTGTCCAGGCCTAACCCTGGCAGAAGGGGGCTGCTTGGTCAAAGCACAGACGCCCCGAGTGCTCTGTGCCCTGCTGGCCCCGCAGGAACAACCCGCGTTTTTGGAGGTGCCATGTCCAACTTCTGCCCGGTGTTCCTGTCACCGGTTCCTGCCATGCTGGCCCACTGCCACTCTCCCACCCGGACCCCCAAACGGGAGGCCACGTGCCAGGGGCGATCAGACCCCGCCCCAACCTCCACACTCTCAGTACAGGTGTCACCTGTGGCTCAGTGAGCTTAGAGAAAAGCTGGCCAGACACGGAGTGGTCCTGTGTCCCTGCCATCCTGTCAACACAGCCGCTCAGACCGCGAGGGCTGCAGGCCACCCTCTGGCTCCAGTGAACACGGAGAAGGCTCCTGTCAGTGTTCGTGTTTTCAGAGAGGCCATGGCCTGAGGGCTCCCTTCCCGGACATAACGGAGAAGCTCCCCGCACCTCTGCTCCTGGCTCCATCTCCCTGCAATCAAGCTTCTGAGAAAAAGGCAGCTCCCTTGCTTCAGGGCCCCCCTCTCTCCTTCAGCAGAGTGACCTGTCATCTTATCACCAGGGCACAGTGTTGAGACTGCCTGGCCCCCACACTCACCCACTGCTGACGGGCAGTCCCACAGCCTTTCTGAGGTGCCCCTGCTCGGTTACCACTGGCCTGGCCCACACGTGTGCCTGAGAGAACAGACGCCTTCTGCTTCCAGCAAGGATGGGCAACAGGAGCCAGGCTGGGTTTAGCCTCCCAGCCGACAGAACCAAAGCAGAAAACAAAATAATGAAGGTGCGTGCAGTAACGCTTTTCTGAGCACTGGACATCAGCCCCCGAGGCATGGCATCCCTGAGATGAACGGAGGCCTGTGCCCACCTGCTCTCTGTCCCCAGGCCCTGGCAGGGAGGGGACCAGGAGGACCCCTGAGACGGGAGCTGAGAGTGGGGCCAAGGCAGCCAGGTTTGCAGAGCAGGGTGTGGGGCTGGGAAGTGGCCTCTGCAGATCTGAGCAGGGTCACCAGATGACTAGAGGGACAGACACACAGAAGGAATGCCCAGCCCCAGGCTGAGACCTGCTTGGACCAGCCTGCCACACCTCGACGGGAAACACAGAAGATTAGACTGTGCCCTGGTATCTTCGATGCACTCAGACAAAGCTCCGGACAGCTCAGGAATGCAGGTGTGACAGCAGTTAAGAGTCACAATGTCCAGGTCCAACCCAAGGTGAGCCAACGCACAGAGTAGCAGGAAACATGACACAAAATAGGGAGAAAAACCAGCCAGCCAAACCCAGCACTGACACAGACCTTAGATTAGGAAAAGAGGTTGTCATGGCAGTTGGCACGGCTGTATTCCACATGCTCAAAAGTTAGAGCCCATTTCAGAAAATACTAAAAAGACCCAAACAGAACGTGTAGAGCTGAAAACTACGTCTGACATGCAAACACACTGGGTGGGATCAATAGCAAAACAGACACTGTAAAAGAAAAGATTGGTCAGCTTGAAGACCTAGCAAGAAAACCAGCTAAACTGAAATGCAAAGTGAAATAGCAATTTTAGAAAAATGGAAGCACTTTGGAGAGTTGTGGGACGTCAGCTCCCCGACACACATGGAACTGGGGGCGTTGCGACATGGGGGGCGGGCAGGGGAGGGGCTGGAAGGGAGCAAGACTGACACCAAGTCTGACAAAACCTTCAACAGGCAGACCCAAGCTCAATGAACCTCAGGTGCACAGAAAAGTCACATCTAGGGACAGAAGAAATCTCACCCTAAAAAGGCAAAAGGAAAACGATGGCTTCACACGGAAAAATAAGGACAGGGAGTCACTGAGGGCTGCTCCGGGGAATGCCTCCAGTGAGGACCCCGTGTGTCCGCTGCACCGAGAGCGAGCTGTCCGCCTGGACTTCTGTGTCCTGCACCGAAGGCAGGGCGAGGACTCGCAGGTGCCGGGAGCCGAAGCAGCTGTGGCGAGCAGTCCAGCAGGAAGCTTCCAGACGTCGGGAAAGCGCGAGGACGAGGACACCGAGGAGCGAATGCAAACAGTGGACACGGTGCGACGGGGTCAGCACACGGGACATTTGTGACCGTCTTTTCAAAAAGTCACTGACTGGAACTGAGCAGTAGGGTGCTGTGGGTGTGGGACATGCATGTGCGTGACAGGCACAGAGTCATGGCGTCATGTTCACAGGGAGAGGGGACACCAACCACGGAAGGTCCTCATGCTGCCACAGCACTGCTCTTACCAAGGCGCACAGTGCTCGATGGCACAGAGGACAGAGTCCAGCACTGACCCCCACAGGGACAGCTGACTGCCCGCCAAGGGGCAGAGTCCATTCTACGGACAGAGCGTGGCTTTTCAACAAATGGTGCTAGGACAGATGGACCTCCAAGTGCAGAGAAACAGAGACAGAACGGACTCTGCCCCCCAGCTCACACCGTGTGCAAACAGCAACACCCAAACTGTCTAACACACAAGACAGTCTTTGGGATCCTGGTTGGGGACGATCCTGACACAGAACCCCAGGAGCATGGTCCACACAGAGCAGAGCTGACAAGCTGCACTTCACTATGACTGGAAACATCTGCTCCTCTAGAAACGGCTGGTGGGCTGTGGGGCACTTCTATGACAGAGGGCCTGCATCCAGAATACACACAAGTCACAACACTCAAGACCAGGAAATGACAGTCTGATGACACAGGAGCAGAAGGTCTGCACAGATCCTTCCCCAAGAAGACAAAGGCCGCCGGCCGCGTGCTGGGGACATGGTGGACGGCACACAGCACTGCAAGTGGCACTTCAGAGAGCAGTTTGGCAGCTCCCTAAAAAGGCTAAAGTATGCAGGGCACGTGACAGGCAAAGGCCTGGCCTGAGCGCCCATGGTGGCCCAAACTAGAGAAGCCAGATGCCCTTGGAAGGGGGGGGTCGCCAGCTGAGACCTGCAGCTGCAGCCCCACGGCAGGAAGGAGGGAGCCTCTGACACTCAGGACAACGATGCACACCGTGGCCTGCCCACAGCCTCTGGGCCCTGTCACACAAGAGCAGGACATAGCCGAGTCCACCCCCCACCCCTGACAGTGTAGCAGCGGGCGGGGGGACAGGAGGAAACTCGTGGGACTCGGAGGTTTCCAGGGTCACAACTTTCCCCTATAAGTATGCCAGCTGCCAGTGCTACACCAATGGAGCTGTTAAAATAAGTAATGCTGTTTCATCGTATAAATAACCAAAACACAATGTAACCAACGCCTCCCACTTGTCAGAACTCACAGCAGCACAGAACGCGCTCGGGTCCCTGCGGGGCCATGGCATGGGGGGACGCCTGCTCTGACCACTGCACCCCCGTCAAGGGGCAGGTCACGGCATGCCCACAACCCGTCAACAGGCGCCTCCCTACGGCAGCCACACTAGACTTGGCCACGTCCCTCCCGCTATTCTCACCAAACCTTGTCCCCAGGACTGCCCAGCTCACGGCACCTCTCACAACGGCCATCGTCCTGACGCCCGGCTCTGATGGAACCACCAGAAACACCAGCGTCCCAGGACTGGCTGCGTCCTGACCCTCGGCGGCACGGGGACAGGACCGCTGCCTGATAGGCTTCCCCATGCTTATCGGCAGCACCGTGAACGCCCCCGTCAGGGTCCCCTGCTCCCATCCCATCCAAAAGGCCGTCTACAGGGCCCGTCACTCCGGCTCAGAATGGCGACGGCACCACCCCTCTCACCTGGGACTCTGGGTTTGGCATTGACAGTGTCTGACGTGCTTTGGGGGTCGGATCTCAGTGTCGAGTCTGTTTCCTTAGTGCTTATCAACATAATGATTTTGTGGCTACGTTTTTCACTTAAGGCTTTGGTGACTCTGCAGAAGTGGACACAGCTCTTCAGGACACACCGTGTTTGTCTGGGTCCTAGAAGCCCTATCCCTCTGCCTGCAGGTGACACGGGCTTGGCCAGATCAGGGCACCGCCAAGGCTCCCCACTGGTTCTATGGGTCCCTGAAGACCTGCTAAGTAATGCCCCTGTACTCAGAGTCGCTCACGATCACCGGACACAGGGCTGAAGGGAGTTCCCAGAGGCACAGGTGAGGCTTCTCACCTTGGTCCCAAACCCCATTTTCTGGACAAACAAATGTGTCCTAAAAACCAACCATCAATGCAGTATCTTAAATCACAACCCAGAAAACCATACTACATCAGCCCGGCCCCTTCTTTCCTTCCGAGGCAGCAGCTGTGTAAGAGCCAGCGGCCCCAGCCCACATGGGGGGCGTGGCCTGGGGCTCCTTGGCCCCGAGCATGGACGAGGCAGCCAGTGATGTGGCCCATCCAGGGCCAGCCCCTCGAGGCACATCCAGAACCACACGGGGTCCACAGGGGCTGGCGACACAACGGGAGATGGTCGGAGCCACAGCGGGGGCGACAATGGGCCTTCAGCAGACACCCAGACCACCCCAGACCTGGTGACCGACGGCGGCAAGGACACTCACGTTGTCCCGGATGTTGATGTCTGAGCCTTTGGACAGCAGCAGCTTCACCAGCTCCACGTGCTTATACTCCGTGGCCCAAATCATGGGTGTCCAGCCACCATCGTCCTAATGTCAAGGGAAAGAAGCAAAAGTCCATCACAGCTCCCAGAGGCAAGTGGCATCAAGAAAATGTCCCTGGGGCCTCCAGGGCAGCGCAGGTGGCAGGAGCCAGGCCCAGTCCCCATGTTGAAGAGGAAACCAAGGCTCAGGGGGCTGCCCTGGGAATCTCAGCAAGGGCAGGACAGAGTCGGGACCAGCCGCACTGACCCCCAAACCTCTGCTCTACTGGGGACAACGGAACCACTGCCCAACCTCGCCCCTTAAGCCTACCGGGTGGCACCGCCAACACACAACACATCTGAGTACACCTGATGGAATCACCTAAGAATTTGGAAATGCTGCTGACCAGGCCCAACCCTCGGACATGAGCAGAAACGGTGTCCGCCTACCCTTTTGGTCTCAGTGACACAGACTCCAAGCATGAAGCAAGAGTGTCAGCCAAGGAGTGTGGACAAACAGACATGTCCAGGCAAGGGCTAGCGGGGACCATGCACAGTGACGGTCTTCTCGAGGAGCAGGGAGCAGAGAGCTGCCCTGGCTGACTCCACCTGACCGGGACCCTCCCACCAGCCCACCCAGGCCCGCCCCCTTGCTCAGGGTCCCAGCTGGTTCACATAAACCAGGATCACAGCTATTCAGGGAGTAAGGGTCACGTGGCCAGGTCCAGCCTCCTGGAGAGGCTCATCCTCACAACGCCGTGCACATAGCTCTCAGCACATCGCTGCCTCCAGCACTGAAGCAACGCTGTGCTGTGGGACCCGCCCACGCACTGGGGACACAGCATGACGACACAAGTCCACCTCATGGAGCCAGCGCAGCCCAGGGGGAGTAACTCACAAAACCCAACCAAAAGGGAAATGAAAAATAAAAGAGAAGGGGTCCAGCCTGTGACCCCTTAAGAGCAGAGGTGGGTCACAAGCCACAATATCGTGAGCTGGGTGGCCCCTCAGGAGCTGGGCTGGTGGGTGCAACCGAGCGAAAGGATAGGGCAGAGCAAGGAGAGAGTCACGTGGGAAGGTCCTGGTCGGTGGGCGGGGCCATAGGAGGGGGCCCAGGCCAGTGGGCGGGGTCCCTGGTGGGCGGGCAGGGCCACAGGAGGGGGCCCAGGCTAGAGGGCGGGGTCCTTGGTGAATAGGAAGGAAGTGCCCTTTGCTCTCCCCAGTCACTAGGTCAGCTGACACACAATGACCTTCTTGGTGCCAAGCACTACATGGCACACAAAAGGGCCCTGACAGCAGGGTAGAGACAGGCAGAGGCTAAGCAAACAGACAGGGGAAGAAGTGGAATATTGGACAATGGCCAGTGCTAGGAGGGAAGACAGGGTGCCATGGGAAGTGGAGGGGGGCCCACTCAGGTGGGGACATCTGTTAGAAAAGGCCCTAACCTTTTCTGTCAAAGACAGCAAAGTTTAAAAATATACTTCCTCTTTCTCACTTGTTTAAGTAGTCCCAGTTATAATACACTTTCTCACTATTGTGTAGTAATAATTCCTCATTTTCAGGCTTACCCAATCTTGTAACGAGGCAGATCTTGCTTTTCTATTAGCCAAGCGGTTTAGATTGTAAGGTCGCGCTCCCGCCAACAGAGTTAGACACAGTGGAACCCGCGTGAGGGATGAAAGCTGAGTGGACTTCCCTGCTGGACTCAGGGACTGTGCCTGCTGGACCGGCTTACGGTGGCTCCGCACCCTTCTGCACAAGTCAAGTTGGCCTTGCCGAGTTACTTTCGACTTCATGTGTCTTTATTTGCGGCACGGCTAAACTCTATTCCCAACAAATCTGAACACTGGCAGGAAGGGGGAGGGAGCGGTCCAGGGGGACAGCCCAGAAGCCTCCAGCTGGGTGGCAGTGCAGAGGCCACCATGGGTGTGAGCTTGTAGATGGCCGCCAGTGAGCAGGCCAGGGCAGGGTTGGGCCGGCGGAGGCCCAGGAGGCGGAGGAGGCCGGGCCTGCTACAAAGGAGAACCCGTCTCTGGCCAGACATGGCCAGCCCCTCAGGGGTAGTGTCGGTGGGTGAAGGGCGTGGCTTTACCTGACAGTTGACATCCATCTGTCCATTCGAAAGCAGATACTGAACCACATCATAGTGGCCTTTCTTGGCAGCCAGGTGCAAGCAGGTGGAGCCCTCCGCATCCTGCAACACAGACGCCATTTAGGCCCTGAGAAAGTGTGACTGACAGTGCCAGGCGGCGTGCATGACCACCGGGGAGGTGCCGCATGGAGAAGGGGCCCAGGCAGAGAAGGGTGGGGTGGCTTCCTGAGGTGGCTCAGCTGAGGTCCACGCCCCAGCTCCTGACAGTGACGGGGCTCAGGTGGCCAGGCGCCCTCGCTTTCAGACACACGTGCAGGACCACCGTGACTCACCCATCCCTTCCCCACCCCCACACTGAGGGGCGTGGCCATGTGCAGTGGCCTGCCTCTCCACGGTTTCCGTGAGTCAGTGCTCACCAGGGCACGCTGAGCAAGGTGCTCATGATCCGGCAATCGGTGTCCACTTACCACAGAAATTAAAAATAAGTGGCCCAGAAGAGCAGGGACCCAGAATGGGACAGGCTGGCCCTGCAGCCCCACACACGCCTGGGCGCTGACCGTGGCCGCCGGGCACACCTCCTGGTCAGCTTTCAGCTCTACTTCCTCAAGGACACTAAATACATCCCAGTAACTGAACTACCTCAAGACAAAACAAAAGCCACCCACCCAGGGAGCGCCAGGAGACTCAGGGGACCCTGGAAGGACCAGGGCCACCCCCACCCCAGCTCATGCAGCCAGGCTCGGTGCCAGCCTTGCCCCTCGAGGGGCCTCGCGGAGACCCCGGGAGCTTCTCGGGTTTGCTCCTGCATTCCTCTCTACCGGCCGTTTATGTCATTCGCTTTCTCTCCCTATTTCTGTTCTCTCAGCAGTGATCCTACATTTGAACACACGTCAAACTCACTTATAACCAAACCTGAAGTTCATCAGTAAAACCCCCTTTTTCAAGAAAACCCATACTCAAACGGCATAGTACTGGCAATTACATTGTTATATGTAATAAATACAAAATGTATGGTTGTTGGTTTGAAGGTTTGCTGTTATTTCCAGGTATCTCGATCACTAAAACAGGTACAGTCCCCCGAACACTAGAGGACAACCCTGAGGACAGGGACACGGACACATGTGTGCGCACACACGCTGCGTTTGTGCATCTGGCAGACACGCAGAAGGATGGGACCGATCTTGCCTGCTAGCAGTAGGTGCCTCTGGCCACAGGTGCCCAGAGCCAGAACCCAAGGCAGGAGCAGGGAGAGGTGAGGAGACACTGGGCGCAGGTGCGGTCTGAGCTGGGGGGGATTCCTGGAAGAAGAGCAGCTGCGCAGAGTGGGGACAGAGGGTCTCAGCCAAGGGGACACAAAGACGTGGCAGAGTGGGGCAGGCTTCACCCACCGGGGCCAGTTATGGGGTCTCCAGGACCCGACGACCCACCTTAGGGCACCCCCAACGCCTGGGCCACTGATTCCTTCCCGCTCAGTGGCACTCACTCTACGGTTCAAGTTCATGTTTGGCCGCATCTTGATCCTCCTGCACCTATGGGGACCGCGCTGCACTCTGGTGCCCACCGCTTTGGTGTCTTGGGGACTGCGGGGCATCTCTGGAGGTGGGTGCAACACTGCGCCACCACCCCACGGACGTGGGCGCGCTCCCAGCTGGCACTCCTGGCTGCGGGACATTCGGATTTGTATGGACCCTGCTACTGGCAGTGCACAGACCGTGGCGTGTCACACACACAACTGCTGGTGACACAGGACGGCGGTGACCTCCAGCAGCGCTGACACCTGATATGCTGCTCGTCTCCCAGATGGCCTCACAGTGGCGTCTTCACGTGTCGGTCACCCATCTTTCCTGCTGGGAACTGCGTGTTCAGTCTTGGCACCTTTTTCTTCCAGGTTCTTTGGTTTTACTGGTAGGGGGTTCCTTATATTTTGTGGTAGTAACCCTCTGCCAGCATGTTGCAAGCTCGTCATCCATCTGCAGCCTTTCGTGTGCTCTGTGGCGAGTCTGCTGACCGTGAGGTCTGACAATGCACTGAGCTGATCACTCACTCTCGCACTGTCCTGTGTTTCGCTGAAGAAACCTCCCTGCACTGGAATCGCACAGGTAACCTTCCCTCTGAATTGCACAAGCATCATGATTTCCCCTTTTACACTCCATTGTCACATTTACCATCTGCGTTATTTGTTCTCTGTCCTTTTTCTTTCCGCCTGTGCTTTATATGAGGTGAGACTGAAAGATACAGTATATGTTTACGTTAACAAAATTTATTACAGTAAAAGACACACTGCCATTAATTCCATCATGACAATGCTCGGTGTCACACATCACTTCTGATATCCAGCAGTTTCTGTCAAATAAAAAAGTTATGGTGTGTTAAGCGCTCGCTCAAGAGTTTGAGCTCTGAGCAACAGCGGTTCGAGTCCAGCCCGAGCTGAGCAGCCGCTGAGCTGCCAACAGGTGGCAGGATGGCTCGGCTAAAAAAAAAAAAAAAAAAAAAAAAAAGTTATGGTGTGTCCTCATCCACCTCATTCACTGGATCTGGCACCGTGCGACTTCGGGCTCTTCCCCAAAGTCAAAATGATTCAGGACATAGAGGCAGTCACGACAGAGCAACTAACGACACTCAGGAAACAGGACTTCCAGAACTGCTTCAGAAAGTGGCAAGAATGAAGGGATAAGTGTGTTCAAAGCGAGGGGGAGTATTTTGAGGGGGATGAATGGCAATATGTCTTTAACTGTAATCAATTTTTTTTAAACATTCACTGTATCTTTTGATCACACCTCATACTTAATGTGAATTTAAATATATTAGCACATGGCTGATCCTGCCTTATCTACTCAAAAGTCTGCCTTTTACTGGCGTATTCAGTCTTTTTACATTTAATGTAATTGAGGACATGCTCCGGTTTAAATGACCACCTTGCTATCTGTCCCATCTGTTTTTAATAATCCTTTCCTGCCTTTTAGTTAAACAAATACTTTTCAGCGTTCCCTTTTACTTCCTCTACTAGCTTTTAAAAAATCTTTCTGAAAGCAAGGTTTTAAGTTATGTCATAAATTACAACACTCATCTTTATCAATCTTTGTAAATTAGCACTTATCACCACCCGCAGCAGAAATAAACAATCTGACAACAGCCAAGTTCCATTTGCTGCTGCCGTCCTCCGGCTACTGTCATATGCAGCTGACACTTGAACACAGGTTTGAACTTCATGTGTCCGCTTATACGTGAGAGTGGGTTTTCAATACACATACAGCCACCCTCCATATCCCGGGTCTCACGCCTGTGGATTCCATCAACCCCGGATGGAAAAGTGTTTTCGATTGTGGTTGGGAATCCGTGGATGAGAAGGGCTGACTGTACGTGCTGTTCTGCACCGTTTCCTTCAGGAGATGTGAGCGCCCCTGGGTTTTGGCATTTGTGGGGAGCCTGGAATGAATCCCCCATGGACACGGAGGACTGTGGGTAAGTTCTGAGGGAGTCACAAGTTACACGCCCGATTGTCTACTGTGCAGGAGTGGGCGCCTCTAGTCCCCCACTGTTCAAGGGTCAACTGTATTTTACTTCTGAATTCATAAAAACTCCCTTACAATGGTATGCATTTCCCTTTAAATAGCCTTTTTTCTTCTAAGAAACTTAAAGAAAACAGTCGTCAGGCAGCCTCTGGGGCTTTCTGTGCATCCCCGCGTCCTCCTCAGTATAAACCTGCTGAGAAATCCATCCACTCAGCTACTGTGTACCTGAAAATGTTTTATTTCCGTTATTTTTTGAAGGGTGTCTTTTACTGGGTGTAGGCTTCCGTCTGACAATAAAAATATCACTTCGTGGCCTCCTGAATTCCACTGTTTCAGAGGAGAACTTGGCAATTTTTCGTAATGCTTTCTGCCTGTGTGTGATAATCTGGTGCTTTTCTCGGGTTGGTTGTAAGGTTTTCTCTTTACTTGTAGTTTGCAACAATTTAGCCATGATGTATTTAGTTGTATATTCTTTGTATTTACCCAGCTGGGTATTTACTTACTTACTTGGTTCTGTAGGTTTTCACCAGATTTGGGAAATATGTAGCCATTTTTTTTCTGCAATGTATTTTTTCCTACCAGTTTTTCTCTCTTCTCTTTCTGGGACTCCAATTACACACGTCAGACAGTTTGATACTGTCCTACAATCTCCGCTTTCAGGCTGGAGTTTCTATGATGGGTCTGCAAGTTCAATAGCCCTTTCCCTACCGTCCAGCCGTACGAGTCGTCCACTTCAGACGCCTGCCCCCCCAAGAACAACCACTTCCGCTACAAGCCTATCCAGCCAGAGCCAGGCGGTTCTAGGTGCTCCGTAAAGCCCTGAGCGCTGACCTGCCTCCTCAGGTCATGCAGTGGCAGCTCTTGTGATGAGGTTGGGAAATCACTCCCAAATGCAGACTTCCCCCCATCACAACACAGGATTAACACTTATCTAACAGTTACAGCAGATATTTACAGGAAAAGTTAAGGTTTCCAGGTCTCAACTACCACCAAAAAGAAACAAAAAAACAGCAAACGACTAAGTACAACCTTGAAAAATACTCATAGCATATGGGAACAACTAGATACAAAAAACTTCACTTCAAGAGAAGCAAACTAAAATACTAAAAAAAAAAAAATGAATAAATAAAGCCACCATTTTTGCATATGAAACTTAAGATTTTTAACAAACAATAGCTAGCTAGCACTGGGAAGAGTGTAGGGAAGGGTGCTCCCATATTCCTGGGTGCACCTCAGAAAGCGGTATCAGAGCCTTGAAAAGGATCACATACTTTGCCCCAGAAATCTGCCCTAAGGGAATCCCACATGCAAAGACATAGCTATGAAGGTATCTGCTGAGTGTAAGAAAACTGAAAATAGCCTAACTATGGAACATTAAGCAAATCTGACTAAAAACAATGTGATTACACCGTGAAATACAATGCAGCCACTTAAAAGAATGTTTAATGACACAGAAAATAGAATTTAATTTGATGGGAAAGAGGAGTGATAAATTAGCGAGAACAGTTTGATCATTTTTTTCATTGGAAAAAATATGTACTAATGGGAAACACTGTTAAGATGTTTCTTACGTTTTTTATGGTTTTATATAGTATATATAACATCCACTTTGCCATTTTAACCTTTTTAAGTGTACGATTCTGTGGCATTAATTATGTTTATCATGTTGTACTGCCATTATCAGGTACCTGCTCCCAAAACCTTTTAGTACCGCAGACCAGCTAGGGAACCATGAGGCACTGACACCCCACCCACTCCCGCCCACCTCGCATCTGCTCGCTCTCTAAATTTGCCTTCCCGAGGTCCTCTGCGTGAGTGGACTCCCACAGGATTTGTCCTGCTGTGACCGGATCCTTTCACATGAGGTTCTCAAGTCCATCCACCTGGTGTCAGGACCTCCTTCCTTTTCAGGGCTGAGTGACATTCCACTGTGTGGAGGGGCCACGTTTGGGTCACTCATCCCCCCTTGATGGACACTGGAGGTGCTCCCACCCCTTGCCTGCTGTGAACCATGCTGCTGTGGACGTGGGGTACACACATCTGTTCGGGTCCCCATTTTCAGTTTTTTTCTGTACATACCTAGACTTGGAGTGACTGGGTCACGTGGTAATTCTGTTAACATTCTGACCAAGCACCAAGCCGTGTGCTGTCCACAGGAGCCACGTCACTCACACTCCCAGCAGCTGTGTGGGAGGGTCCCAGTTTCACCACGTTTGCCACCACTCACTCTCGGCCTCTTAGGTCATGGCCGCCGTAAAGGCTGTGAGTGGTGTCTGGCTAAATTTGCTTTGCGTTTCCCTGACGACTTGTGGTGTTGGGCATCTTTCCATGAGCTAACTGGCCCTTTGTGTGTCTTCCTTGGACAGATGGCTACTCATTCTGCCCCTTTTCGGACTGGGTTGCATTTGGGTTGCTGAGTGTCAGGAGTTCTTTATGTGTTTACTCTGGACAGTAATCTCCTCTCAGACAGAGAGCATTTATAAATATTTCTCCCACTCTGGTTATCATTTCACTCTCCTGCACAAGTTTTCAATTCTGATGTTCAATTTATGCATTTTTTTCTTTTGTCTGTGTTTTTGGTGTCATATCAAAGAAATCCTTGCCAAATCCAATGTCATAAAGACTTTTCTCTTTTCTTCTAAGAGTTTTATGGTTTTAGCTCTTAAGCTTAGGTCTTTGATCCATTTTGAACTCATTCTTGAACTCAGTATAAGGTACAGGCACAGCTTCATTGTTTTGCATGTGGAGATCCAGTTTTCCTACCACCACTTGTTGAAAAGACTGTCCTTTCCCCACTGGGTGGTCTTGGCGCCTTGTTGACAATCGTGTGATACACATGAGGGGTCATTCTGGGCTCGGTTCTAGCCCATGGTCTGTGTATGTCTGTCCCATGCCAGCGCCACGGAAGTCTGAGTCCTCCAGGTGGGATCGTCATTGCCAAGATTGTTTGGGTTGTTCGGGGTCCCTTGAGATTCCACATGCATTCTAGGATGTGCTTTTCTGTATCTGTAAAAAACAGCATTGGGATTTTGAAGGGCTTGCATTGACCCTGTAGGTGGCTTGGGGTGGTACTGACATCTTAACTTTAAGTCTTCCAGTCCACGAACATGGGTGTGTTTCCATTTACTTGTATCTCTTCTCTAACGTCCTTCTGCAACGTTTGGTCGTTTTCCATGTATTACTCTTTTGCCTCTGACAAAAGGGAACTGGCACTTTAAAGAAATTGACCAGGGAACTGGGAGGTCTATGGCTGGAGCTGGGCTTCCTGTTCCTCTCTAGTCCCGACTTCCTGTTAAACTTTATGGTTCTAACTTCCTGTAAGGGGGGGGGGGAGACGATATATTGGGGGTCCTCTTGGGGGACTGCTCTCTTGCACGTGGGAAGCCGGCCAGAAGGTGTGTGTTCCCATTGCTGAGGTGGTTTTGTTTCCTTTTCGCAAATAAACCCTCTTTTTGGTGGACTATCTAAACGGTCATTTTGGTCCAATTAACACCTCCTTTGTTAAGTTTATTCCTAAGTATTTCATTTTTTTTGATGCTATTATAAATGGAACTATTTTCTTAATTTCTTTTTGGGATTGGTCATCAATAAGTGTAAAGAAATACCAGTGATTTTTCTGTACTGATCTTGTGACTCCAACCTTTGCAACATACACTTACTAGTTCTAACAAATTTTTTGTGGATTCATCAGGGTTTTCACATAAAATGCTGTCGTCTGAACAGAGACCATTGTGCTTCTTCCTTTCCAACATGGATGTCTTTTACCTCTCTCTACGCCTAACTGGACACGGTAGAAGACAGAAGTGGGAAAGTGTGTAAATGGAGGGCTGGCAACCCCTGCACGCTACTCCTCACCGCAGTCTGTCAGGAATAGGGGAGGTGGTGCTCACCAGACTGTGGTCACACAGCCCGCCAGCCAACGGGGACTGAGTGCTTCCCGACCGCGGGGGCACGTCCTGCAGACCTCCAACAAGGAGGCCATCGGTGGCTCTGGGACACGCCCACAACGCAGAAGCGGCCCCACGGGCCAGCACACACGTACCTTAGGGTCCATGAGGGCCCCAGCTTTGATGAGGTACTTGACTGCGTCCAGGTGGTTGTTCTCTGCCGCCTCCATGAGCGGGGTCCTCTGGTCCTCCGAGCAGCTGTCGATGTTCGCTCCCGCCTGCTGAGACAAGGGAAGTTCAGGGTGTGGGGAGGGGGGGTTCACGTGCTTCAGACACCTGACAGCAGAAAGATCTCACGAGCTATGCTAGTCGTTTCTACTGCCCAACTGTGTCTGATTCTCCAAAACTGCATTTGCAGATAGAATTGTTCTATTACTACCAGACCTTCAGTTTACGAAGAGCACTTTCTAAGTAAAAATGTTACTGATAACACCATTAGAAACGAGCAAGAAGGTGGTAACTTTCTAGAGCAGGCAAAGAAGGGGTGCACAGGGGGCCCCTCAGCATGGCTGGGCCAGGGCAGGTGGTGACGTGACTCCACGGACCTGCTGTTTGATGCTCGAACAAAAACTCATTCCAGTACCACGTATTTAGAGCAATATCCATGTTTCCCAATGGCGGGTGTGCTCGAAAACCTAGTGTGCCAGCAGGGGTGGGCAGGTAAGGCTCTGTCCGAGAAACTTCGCGAGACCCGCCTATGACACGGGTCTGGCTGGAAGCAAGCCAGAAGCTCGTTTTGTAGTGGAAACCTTTAACCCACGGGGGAGAAACTGTGATTTCTTAGGCTGGTGTACAAAGAGCTAATATTTAGTTTTAAAAATATTTACTATGGAAAAGACTGAAAACAGTATGGTTTTTACCACTAACAATTAAGAAACAAAAGCTGAAACAAGTAAGAAATTTTTAAATAGACTTGGAGTGGCACACATGGAAAAGCAGGGGACTGAGGTGGTCCAGGCAATTCTCAAGGAAACTGTCAGCTATTTCAGAATTGCACTCCCCGACTGAAAGGTCACAGCCACTGCTCCAGAGCTGGAGACAGAGACCAGAGAGGCCGGAGTGTGCAGGCAGGCACGGGGCAGGGGTACACGAGAATCCAAGCCGAGGTCAGGTGGCCCAACCTGAGGGCAAGGTCGAACCAGAATTCCACAGCCACGGATTTTAACAAATAAACTTAAAAACACACACAGGATAAGGGCCACAGTGAGGGGTCAGAGCACTAACGAGGCCAGGGCTGCACAGGCAAGACACACCCTCTGCAGGCGGGCACTGCCTGCAAACTGGGCACAAGCACTTGACCTAAAAATCACTGGGACAGCATACAGGGTTCTGGGGGTGAGCAGCAAGTAGTGTGACAGCACCAGCTACAGGCCAACCCAGGGGCCGGTCCGAGAGGCAGCCCCCAGACAGGACGGGCTGATGGCCCTGAGCAGACCAAAGGCTGGGTGCTCACTGAAGACCGGGGTCAGGGTCAAAGGACCTGGCCTTCCCCAAGACTCAGGGTCCAGGTTTGAGGGCTGGCTGGGGTGGACCCACAACCAGTTCTCGGTGGGCTGGTCCGAAACCAGAGCTGTCCAGCAACCAGCCGCACGGAGGCCCCTCTCAGGGATGCGCAGACAACCCAGGACTGACACCGGAAACGTCCACCCAGAGGAAGGATCGTCCCCAGGGAAAAGGAAAGGCCGAAAGACAGCGAAACACACTCTGGGAACCTTGAGACGCGGAGGAGATGGAAGGGAGGCAAACCAGGAGGACCCACATGCCACGCATAGCACAGGCACAAGGTCCTCAACTGAGGTGCCAGTACACGGCCAGCAGCACACGCTGACGGGACACGGGGCAGGCCCCAACCCCACAAGTCCCCAAATCCTCACTAAGTAAGTGTGACAGGGGTGCGCGGGCACCTGAGTGAGGTGTGGGATGTGCAGGTACCTGTGTGAGGTGTGCGATGTGTGGGCACCTGTGTGAGGTGTGAGGGTCCCTGTGTGAGGTGTGCCACCCACGGCAGGTCCTTGGGCTCCCGGGGCCAGCAGAAAGGCAGGCCTTGGTTGGTCCCTCGCCCTGAGCTCTGTGACTATTAAAAAAGGCTCCTTTCTCTCTGAAAGTGCCTGAGGCTCTGCAAACACCGCCACGTAAAGGTGACACAGCAGATGAAGACCCACAACATGGCAGTGAGCACCTACACGATGGGACCTCAGTCTGGAGCTGCAGAGCCCGTGGGGGTGCAGGACGAGACACAAGCCCCGGGCAGAGTCTCCACAGTGACATCAGTGGGCCAGCAGGACGCTCAGATGGGCCGGCAGCCCGGACACCTGGGCGCATGACCACGAAGCTCTCAACTCGCAGCTTTATGCCCCAGGGCACAGCCTTCCCTCCTTGAACGCTGTCACTGAAACTTAGACACGCATGCCAGGGTCCATTATGTCACAGCGGCCCAGCCCCAGTGGAACCAGAGAGCCGTTTCTAGTGAAAACCCAGGAAGAAAACTCAACAGGATGTGAAAAGGCAAACCACTCCTCTGAGGGGCTGCCACGATGGAACAGAACACGCGTCACTCCAGCAAGACAGCAGCGTGAGAGTGACATCAGGGGCTGCTGTCAGCCCTTTGGGGGCATGTGAGCTGGGAGACACCCCACAGAAGCAGGACCTCCAAGAAAGAAACTAGAAACAAGCCCATCCCTTTCTTTCCTGCAAAATCTCAGAAAAGTTGCTTCCTTCTCGGGAAAGAGAAATACACATGATTACATGCCCCCAAGCTCAGGGAGCTCGGGCCTGAGTCACCAAGTTAAATGCAGGCTCAGAATCCCATCCGAAGGGGTGCCAGGCCCCCCACCTCCAGGCGCCGGAGAGACAGCAGTGCAGAGGGTCATAAGGAATTCCTGAGTATGAGGGGTCCTTCTTTTCTCTAACACGTGTGACAACAGTTTAAGACTCAAAAGAAGCTGTGACACAGAACATAAACTCCCGTCTCCCCATATCCACGTTCCCAGTGACAGTGTCTTAACGCAGCATAGCCCGTGGGCAGAGGCAGGAAAGGGACGTGTGTGTTGGAGCATAGGCTAATCGCACCACGAGGTCTGTGTTGGCTGTGACACAAAAACCACTGTGTGATTGAATCAGCACGAAGATTGAAGGCAAGCTAAGTCACACTGAGGATGCGTGCACGGTGGTGAAACCACACAGAAAGGCAGCGCCGTGACTGTCACAATGCAGCCTGGTGAGCTGCTACCTTTGGGGAGGGGACACTGTTTCTGGGGAGCAAGCAGCATCCTGCCCTGACCTGGGGATAGGTGATTCCCTTCATAATTACTCACCAGGATGTTTGCATCTTAAGGCCTTTCTCATATGCACGACACACACACATTTTAATGTAAAAAAAAAAAAAAAAAAAGGCCAAAGACAACACTCCTTTCAAAGGAGTGACGAGCTAACTTCTCAAAAGCAAGAAGGAAGTAGAAGACAGTGGAACGTCCCTTATCAGCAGTGAGAACAAACAACCAGCAGCCAGAATCCCAAACCCAGGGACAATGTCTCCAAAGAGTCTCCACACCCGTCCCGCTCCAAGCTCGAGGAGCGGCCTGGCCATCACACCTGAGCCCACGCCACAAGCCCGCCCGGCACACAGATCATCAGAGTGACCCCTGATCCCGGAGGCTCTGCGCGCCCCATCCTCATCTCCTGCTTTGCTCCGGGTCCTGCAACAATCCCGAAGCAACAGGATCTCGGGTCCACCTCAGCGATCACAGGCCACTGCCACACCTTAGCCACTTGCTGGCGTCCCCAGACGCCCCCACCGTCACGACCTCCAACACCGCTAGCCGGCCAGTCACATCACTACCTAGAGCCGCTACCTGTGTGACCAATCTGAGGACCCCCCCATCTGCTGTCACCAAACCCTTTTATGCTTCCCTCTGTGGGCCTCAAGTTCACAAGGTTGGTACTCATCTCGCTCAGACGCCTTTCCTCCTCAGTGATCGCCTCAGTCTCATGACTGAGTGATGACACTGCATGTGTGACTGCTGAGGACAAAAAAAAAAAAAAGGGACTAAAAGGGCCGGCTGAGTGGCGCGTTGGTTAGGAGCTGGCTTGGGACGCCAGCTCTGAGCAGCAGGGCCCCGGTTCTGATCCCACATGAGGGTCAGTGACACTGCCCTCTACAGCTAAGATGGTAAACAACAGCTCAACCTGCTGCCGTGAGTCGCCGGTGAGGGCATAGGCTGCAGCCCCTGTTGCAATGGGTTGCCGTGAGCTACCGTGTGTGGCTGGCAGCTGCCGTGAGCTGCCAAGAGCCGCCGTGAGCGGCCGTCCAGAGGCCAGCGACCGATCTGCCTCACCTAGGATGACCACAATGATCCCAATACCAACATGGGCCAGTGAAGCGACGTCCTCCACAACTAGACTGAAGAACAAAAAGACAGCAACTCTTCTGTTCCCCTCCCCCAATTCCCCAACGCTGTTCCCCTCCCGCAACTCTCCAATAAAAAAAGTTAAAAAAAAAAAAAGTGAATAAAACTCCCAAGTGAATAAAAAGAAATGAGACAAAAATGAAAGGAACAAAAGATTCAAAAATGAAATACTTGCTTTAGAAGGCTGGGAATCAAAACCACAATTAAAGGCGTTAGAAACAAATTTCAATGTCAGAAACGACAGTAAACATTACCTAGACTAAAGGTTCCTATTAAAATACCAAGACTGCCAGACTGAGCTTTAAAAACTCTAGCTGTGTGTTACGTAAACAGCCACGTCCAGAACAGTGGCTCTGCAGCCTGTGACGAGGCTGGGAGGGCGTGGCAGGCATAGTCTGAGGCATTAGCCATCTGCACCAACAGCTGTATCGGCCCTAAAATGCACACCAAGCGTGAGCGCACCCTGCCCTGCACACCTGCTGCTTCTGGCCGTGCTGCTGGGGATAAAAGGATGAAGAAAACGTGAGGCAACGACAGCAGTGCCCAGGGCCAGGAGCCAGAGCCAACAGGGGAGGATGCAGGCCAGCGCCTCTCGGGAAACAGCGTGGTGCCCCCAGGATCCCACTCTATGGTTCCCACAGTCACACACAGGTGACAGCTGGCAGCCGGGTGCTTTCCAGAAAGCCATGTCCCTGCAGGCCACTGACAGTGACAAGACCCCGACCGAGAACCTACTTCAGCATTTTAGCACTTCACTTGAAACGTGTACAAGCAGCAATCACCAGGCATCTGAGGAAAACCTTTAAAGAAGACAGACCAAAGTAACAGAGACAAGGAACGGGAAGAGGCTGCAAAGGCCTCGGCCCCCAGCCCAGGTGAGAGGCCCAGGGGCTGGCAGAACACAGCATAGAAAGCACCGGAAAGATGGGGGGACCAGGGAGCCCCAGAGGGCAGTGCTGGGAACTCTAGGAGCAGCACACCTGTCAGAGCAGAGTGCGCCGAGGGCACACCAGATGCCTGATGGGCTAGGAACTCTGCCAGTGGGTTAAAGGGAACTTCCTGAAGCACTGGGGAGCAAGCAGGTCACACATGAAGGATTGGACTTAAAATGTGGGCTCCAGGGACCAGGGGACCCAACACGGGTCAGGAAAGGATGTGTCCCAGAGCGACGGCGCCAAGTGCACACAAAAGTGCTTTCCAGGTGACGCCGGGCAGGTGTCAGTCTTTCGGAGGGTTAGGCGTGAATTAGCAGCAGGCCGACCACTCGGCCAGGGAAAGCCACGGCGGCTCCTAGTGCTGTCGTGGTCACGTGGTCACGTGCATGTTCCCAGGGCTGAGTGAAACACAGTGGGTGGGGCTTGGCCGAGCAGGCCTGGGGCAGGGCAGGGGGAGCTCCCACGCCTGGGCCATACCCTCCACGTGAGAAGTCCCGGAGTAAATTTAAACACCAAAAGCAAACCAGACAGGACACAGCTGGCTGTGAGGGTCGCCCTGGCCTGGGGACAAAGGGTGGGCTGGGCAGGCACTCAGCCCGTGTCACCGCGTGGCACTGGGCGCGCCGTCTGACCTGGATCAGCATGTGGCAGATGTCCACGTGGCCAGCCTCCGCCGCGGCGTGCAGGGGGGATCGCTTGTTCTGGTGCTCCATTTTGAAGTTAGGATCAATCCCATCAACTGTGGACAAACAGGGTCACCGGTCACTCGAGGCAGTCATGTGGGCCAGCTCACCAATGTGCACCCACGAGGGGCTATTGCCCATACCATCCGGTGTGGGTGGGTGACCGGGTTCAAGAGGCAATCTAGCAGCTCCGTGTGAAGCACACAGGAGGATGTGGTCAGAGCCAGCTAATGGCGGTCTCTCCCTTCTGTACACCTTGGGCTCTCGTCATTTCTCTGGGCTCTCCTCTGGGGACCCTGGTCATGGCACTGCCCCGGGATCTGCTGGGCCTCAGGGAGGACTGCCCCAGCAGTTGCACTCAGAGGGCAAACGCTCCACGGAACCAAGAGAAACGCGCTGGCCTGAGCGGCTCGAGCCAGTACACCAACCGGAGCAGAGGAGCCCGGAGAAATCAAGCTGTGAGCTCAGAGCCAAAGCGCCGTCTTCGTGCAGCCTGTGATGAAGCTGGCAGGATGACGGGCATGGTCCGGGGCATTAGCCATCGGCACCAGCAGCCGTATCGACCAAGTGTGAGCGCACCCTGCCCCGGACACCCGCTGCTTCTGGCTGCACGGCAGGGGCCGGACACACCACAGGCCCAATGTGCTCCTTTTGCTTTTTCTGAACCTACATTTGTTCTTAATTTAATAATCACATACCTACTTCCTTTCTCTAATGAGGACTTCACAGAGAATGCTTCAAGGACTGTGTAACCAAGTGTGGACACCAGGACTTGCTCCATCGGCGACTAGAGGCCGGACTGATGGGCAGAGCGCAGAGCCCACCGCCAACCCCACACCTGCCCTGCCCGGCCCCACTCACCCAGCATGAGCAGCACCTTCTGCAGCTCCCCTTGCCTGGCGGAGAAGTACAGCTGCTTGGGGTGGAAGCGCAGCTTCTTGGGCCTGTGGGGAGAGCACAGGACGGCGGTGGCTGAGGCTGCCCGCCACCACTGCACCAAGCTTGCTGCAGACTGTGGGGCCTGGCTGACGTCCACCTGCCGATTCCTCAAGGTCAAGGGCACCAAACCCACTGGGCTTCAGGCCCCTCACAGGAAAAATGACAAAAGTGAGCAGCTGTCATCCTCCTCCACAGCAGGCTTCTGTGTCCCAGAAAGATAAAACCAACGTGGGGCAAACAGCCAAGCCTCTCGCGTCCTGGTACCACAACATGGAGTCCCCACACTCGCTCCCGTCCCCTCTCAGCACCCAGCAGCCTCAGCCCGCTCTCATGTTGACTCCCGGAAGCAGCGAGACACGAGGGCCTGCTGGGGGCACAGGGATGGGTGCCGTTAAGTGAAGATACCATCATGCCCAGAGCTGCGTTTCAGCTGCCCAAGCCCTATAGCAGAATGACCCCTGGCCCCTTCCCCACGACGCCAGACTGAGGGACGCCAAAGCTGGCCCAAGACCTGCAGTCATGGTCTCCTGCCCTTACGTCACTCTTGGCCAGTCAGCTACCCTAGGACCCCAGACCCCTTACGCTTGATGACATGACTTCTGCCCTATAAACCCCGTCTGTAAACTGTCGGGGGTCCAGGTTTTCCCAGAGAGAGCAGCCGTGCTTGGCGTACAGTGAGCACTGTCCAGGAAAGGCCGCCTTCTTTCATGCACTGGTGTCAGCATCTCGGGCCGATTACAGCACCCGGGGGACGGGCTCTGTGCTTGCTCACACAGCCCGAGGTCAGGGGTGGCCGTGGGCGTGGGAACATGGTCACAGCCAGCTACACCCATCCCCTTTGGCAGTGCAGCCTGGGCCTGGTGAGTGGGCACAGTGGGGACAGGGCCAGGGAGGAGGCTGGAGACTGACAGAGGGAGCTGTGGGGCACTCAGGAACGTGTCCCAACATGAGAACTTTCCATGAAGCCAACGCCTAATGTGATGCTGGCCCCCTTCCTGCCTGAGGCCCTGATAAGCTGGCTTGCTCGGCTTCCCTGAGGAGAGGCCCTGGTGTCCCTTGGAAAAGGACAGCTGCCTGAACACGAGTCACGGGCACTGGGCTTCCTGCACTATTTGAGAGCTGGTAGGTGAACCTGAAGGGCCACCTGGTCCAACCTTTCATTTCAGAGACGAGGGGCAGGCCGAGGCCAGCACTGTGGGCAGCAGCACCCAGGGAATGTTTGTAAAACCCTCCCCAACACCAGCCTTGCTTAGAACATCAAAGGTGTCACCTTCTGCTCTTAAGTGTAAGGGACAACAACCTGCAATAACTCCCTGAAACAGAGCACAAGCATGTGCACTGTCCTGGAGAACGACCTCAGCAAAGAGGCTGAGAAATGCTACAGGACCGACCCTCCCGGGCAAACGCCGGGGCTGAGGCCGTGGCAGTCCTGGCGGCCATGGGGCACGGACCCTCGGGAGAACAAGCCCATGGCTGGCGTACGCAGCCACAGACGGCACAGGGGAGAGGCATCTGTGGAGAGGAAACACGCCCAGCGTGGGGACCAGCCAGGGGCCGAGCGGGTCTGACGGCGCGGCCGGCCTTACTTTTCCGAGTCCAGGGCAATGAGGGCGCTTTCCAGTGTCTCCTTTCCTGGGCCTGGCTTCACCAGCCCAGCTGGCCCTGCAGGGTCGAGGCTCTCAGGCGCCGGGGGGGCCGTGCTCTGTGGCTTGTCATCCTCTGACAGCAGGGGTCCGGAGGTGCTTCAGGGGGAGGAAGAACGGGAAATGCTCAGTTCTAGAGCCTGAACAATCCCCTTCTTGTGGAAACCAATGAACACGCCAACGTCACTTCTGGGTCCCGCCCAGCAAGCTGCCCTGCGGAGACTCAGATGCCCTTCCTCTGCTCGCGTCAGGACTCAGAACCCAATCCCAGAGGAAATCACTCCCCGCAGGCAACGTTCCCAGCACGCCTGGGCCATGTGCTCACACCTGCATTTGTGAGTGAGCTTCTAGGTGAACCTATCGAGTCACTTGCACCCAAGAGAAGGGGATCCCATTAGAATTTTGATTCGAAGTGCATTAAATGTATAGGATAATGTGATGAATACAGACAATGTGAAGGAATTGACACCCCTCTCACGTTGTTTTCACGTCTATAATTCCTGTGTCTCTTAAACAAGCCTAAGTGAAGCTAACCGTTTTCTCTGCATCAGTGTGATATTTATTAAGTGCTTTTCCCTAGTAATTTCTGGGTTTTGCTGCTGTTTTGAAAGGCTCTCTTTCACCACTTCATTTTCTAGCTGGATACGCTGGTAGGGAACATGGCGACCCACCTCTATTTCTCTCTCATCTGATTCTCTAACTGACGCCTTTTATCTGAGTCCTTCGGCATTTCTACCGAATTCTTTTAGAGAGAAACCTGAATCCTTTTCTTTCAGGTTGATTTTTTTACTGTCAGCCAGGGCCTTCAAAACATACTGCAGTAACACAGACTTCATCAGCTGACATGACTGTCTCATGTTATATGTGTATGCACACACAGATAGGTGTGTCCAGACATGTGCACGGAGGAGAGATATGCAGATGAAAACATACATACGTATAGATGCATAGACATGAACACACGTGTACAGAGATGCACACAAACACATACACACCTGTACAGGAGCACACAGAGGTATACACATGTAGATATGTATGGACGTGCACTCAGACTTATAGAAATGTGCAGATACACACATGTACATGTGTGTGCAGACATGTAGACATGTGTAGATGTATATGACCATGTGGACACATGTATGGATGTCTATGGACATGTGCATGTGTGAGCAGATATGTACACATGTATGGATGTGTGGACATGTATACATGGATGGATTGTTAACTCATGGGCATGTGTGGACAGACATGTATACACATATAGATGGGTGCAGACACATACATGCATGTAGAGATGCATAAGGACGTGTACACATGGGTACTGACATGGACACAGCTACCTGAGACACTATGCTCCAGACAGAAAATACCGTCGTGTCACGTCAATTAGGACAGTGACACTGGCTCAGAACAGGCAGACGAACCCAGATAAGCCAACCAGGAGACCTGTGCCCCAGGCACTGAGCAAGAGCACGGCGTGTCGTAAATGTCACGGCCCCGAGTGTGAGTCACCTGGAGGCTGCCGCGTGAGCGGCCGAATCGGGGCCGAGTAAGGACAGATTTCCAGGAGCATTAGGCCGGCGCGGCCGGCACGTACCTGCCGGTGGTGGTGTCGGCCCTGCCCTCCACGGTGGAGCTCTTCTCCTGGTCCAGGGCCAGGGTAACGGTGGAGGTCGTGTCTGCTTTTGCGATCGTCACCTCTTTGGCCTTGGAGGTTTCCTCCCCACAGTGGGGACAGTAGCTGGCATTATTGATGCGAGAGGCACAGTCTTTGTGGAAGCGATGAGAGATGCTGCTCTCGGGCTGACATTCCATAAAATTGCCCTAAAAACGGAAAGACGAGAATTCATTTTTGTAAACTTGGGGCTGATGTGCAGAAAAGTAAAGGTGCTGCTGGACCTGTACGGACATGAGAGCAGCTGGGGGCTCCCAGTCTCAGGCGGGACGAGGAGGAGAAAACCAGGGTGCAGCTGTGTGCTGCCCTTGCCCAGCAAGTCTAAACGCACGCCTATGCCGGAGCGCTCCCGGCCCCACCCCCCCAGGAGACAGAGGCCTCGCTCCTCGGCTGTCCTAACCAGGCAAGAAGCCGCACATGAGGCCAGGTTCCAAGACAGACCCACAGGGGACAGAGCAGAAAACAGAATCTCAGAACACTGTCAGGGGAAGACGTTCTCGACAGCACCCTGCAGAGGTGGCCACACATGGTGGTGGCATTTTAGGCGAACCCGGTAACTCCCATTGGCACAAAGGGGTAAACCTTGAGAGGAACCCTACAGATGAATGGACACCGAGAAGCAGCTGCTGTCCTTCTCAGCAGCAGCAAAAGGATGTTTAAGATGGGAGGGCACAAGGGTGGGATCCATAGAGCAGGGCCCAGGCGGCGCCTCAGCTGAGGGCAGGTGGGCAGCTGGGCACCATGGCGGGGTGCCCGGCACTGGTAGGAGGAAGGAACTGATGAAGAAAATCTGAGAGGAGGTGTGGACGAGGCCACGGAGAGCAGCCTCCAGGGGCAGAGGCTGCTGTGTATTCAGATATGAAGCCACGCGGCGAGTGATGGGGCTGGGGGTGCCCAGAGCACCCACCTCCCTCTCCAGCTGTCCCCAGGGGCCACGGCCCATAAGCCAGAAGGGAGCACACTAGGGGCAGAGCTGCGGTGATCCCGCACGGCTCTAGGCGGTGGGCCGGGCACTCACCGCCGTGCAGAAGTAGCCGCAGCCGGGGCAGCACTGGTGCTTCACCATCCGGCCCCGGTGGTCTTCACACAGCACCAGGAGGGGCGCCTTGCTGGACGGGCGCATCAGCTCGTGCTTGACCACGCTGTTGGTGCACCTGCCCAGCTGCGATCAGACAAGACCAGGGTCAGACCTGAGTCCGCGGTGACTGCAAGCAGCCCGTGCAGGGTCGAGAGAACACAGAGGGAGGGCCGGGCGCCATCCTCTGCAAGTCCTCCAGAATAGGACAACCATAACAGGTGGCCACGCGCACAGTGCCAGAGCAGCAGGCGCTTACCTCGGCCAAACCAAGGAGAACGAATGTCCTGGGCAAGTCGGGACCTGGGCTGGGTGTAAAACAAAGGGCTGTATGCCCGGCGGGACAACCCTGGCTGGACAGAATGGAAGTCATGGGCCAGCACTGAGGAACGCAGTGAATCCATGGAGCCCACAAGTGGTCGGGACAACCAGAGTAAAATGCCAAACCAAGGGCTACTGGTTAGATTAGCTATGCAGCTGATGGGTTAGTGGTTAGTTACTCAAACAATAGGTTACCAGTTAATTAGACAGACAATGGGTTAGCGGTTAGCTACAGATGATGGGCTAACGGTTACCTGCACAGAAAATGGGCTAGCAGATATCTATAGACGATGGGTTAGTGGTTAACTACACAAAAAATGGGTTCGCAGTCAGCTACAGATGATGGGCTAGAAGTTAGCTATAGACAATGGGTTCATGGTTAACTACAGACAGTAGGTTAGCGGTTAGCTATGAAGACAATGGATTAACGGTTAGTCACAGACGATGGACTAGCGGTAGATACACAGGCAATGGGCCTGTAACCCGCCGCAGGTGCACACCAACAGCAGCCCACCTCAGGCCTCAGACAAGGGCCCTCACCTCCTGTCCCGTGACTGATCAGCTGACGCAGCCCCACCCCACGCATCCAGACACAGGGAAGGCCAGGGGGAGCAAAGGATGGGGCTCTGGGTATTTTCCTTGCCTGATGCCTGCTCGATGGATCAAACTGTCCAGTGAAATGATTGTACAGGGGACGCTGAGACAGAAGACAGAGACCAAAGCAAACAAGCCCAAATCAAAAGGGCTACGGGGAGCAGTGACGGGCGGAGGGAGAAGTGTGTCAGCAGGGCCCTCAGAGACGCAGACCTCGTGGCAGCTCTCAAGCTGGAACGGAGGCTGTAAAGGAAGACACACTGGGGAACAAAAGCAAGCTCTCGGAATGAGAGGTCAGGAAGAAGATGCGAGAATTTCCACGGAAGTGCTGGAAGACAAAGGAAATTTTCTGAATAAAGCAATAAGTTTAAAATGTGGGGAGAAGAAGTATGTCTCCACGACTGAAAGGCACACATTTCTGCCCCTGAGATGGCGGCCAGCAGTCCCATACAAGCACACAGGCCTCCGGACACCAGGGACAAAGAGGGGACTGAAAAGCCTCCAGGTGCCACACAATGAAAACCAGAGACGAGAAACCTGATGTCAGGGTCCGAAGGAAGCAACGCCTCACCCAGAACGCCCACTGGCCCTGGCAGTGGTCAGATGGGAGCAGACCCTTGCAGAGTGCAGGTCAGAACCCATCCCCCAAGCTGCCTTCCTTCAGGAGTTACTGAAGGTCACACACCAACACGGACAAACTAGGTGGCCCAGAGGAAGACCTGACATATGTGAAAAACAGACAAAATATGCAATTCCACCAGTTTGGGATTGAATTTGTAACCGTACAAAAAAACAAAAAAAAAAACAAAAATGGGAAGATGAGGTAATTATTAACTGAGGAAAACAAAAAGCGGCTCAGGAAAAGCAGCATGACCCCAACACAGTACTGGCTTGGCACTCACAACACTGGGAGAACCTTAAATACTGTTGAAACGGAAGGTACGGACAGGCGGCAAGAGGGCAGTGAGAGCGGGGAGAAGTGGGGAACATACAAAACCAGCAGATGACATCTCGAGGTAGAAAGTCATGAAATGACAGTAAAAAGCAGGCATTAATTATTTAAAATATGGAGGAAAATACCAGAAGAAAACACTACAGGAGGTCAGAAAGACTGCCTCAGGGGAGGGGACTGGGAGAGCCACAGTGAAGGGCTGGCATGAATACCACCAGGATTCTGAGGCGACACCCAGCCCAGCCTAAGGTTGGATAACCACAGACAGTGTGGCTGTCACAGCAGGGGATGACAGTCTTCTGCTAAACATGCACCAACCAACAGGACAGTCCCCGAGCACAAGGAATCATCCAGATTTTTAGAAGGAATTTGAACCCACTGTCAAGAGACAAAGCAGCCAACAGAAGCAGACCCAGAGACGACCACATGTACGATCAGACTGGGGTGTTGGGGATGCCAAGTAGAAATGTGAGAAATAAAATGCTCACACATACACTCAACAAGGAAGAAGAGATTACTGCATGTGAAAAACGTCAACAGAAACGATCTAACCGTAAAATACACAGGGGAAAAAAAGAGCAGAGCATCCATCAGCTGTGAGATAAGATCAAACAACCTAACACATGTGATTGGAGTCCCACTAAAAGAAGAAAAAACAGGCTGAAAAACACAAAGCCATTGGGCAAGACTTTTCTAGGAATAATGAGAAATCAGATCCAAATAAAGAAGCGCAAAGAACTCTAACAAGGACAAATAACAAAAGAGAAAACAGCAAAACCACTACCCCTGGGCCTCAAGACAAGGAGAAAATTCTGGGGGCCGCCAAAGAACTAGTGCATCCACGCCAAGGACAGATACACGGCAGCAGTTGGCTTCGCATCAGAAACTATGGAAAATCACACTGAGCAGCATCTCGGAGGGCTGAGAATTCTATTGGGTTGTCAGAAAAGTCATAATGCATTTTTGCAACAGATGGTGCTAGTTCATTTCTGGGAGTACTAGAGTCATTCACATCTATGTTATTGCTATGTCATTTGACAGCTGACAGTTCTAGCTTCATTCTAAAAAAATAATGGAGCGAGTTGGTTAGTTTTGGAGATTTTACAAGTTGAAGATGGAAGACCAAACTGTGCATTTTTGCCGTATTTTACTGTTTTACTTCCATAAAGGGAAGAACGCACATCAAGCTTGTGAAAAGTTGCCCACAGTTTACAGTGACAATGCTCTATAAGAACGTCAATGCCAATGATGGTTCACGAAATTCTGTCCTGGTGATTTTGATCTCAACGACACCCCTTGGTCAGGGAGGCCAACCGAGGTTGATGACAACAAAATAAAGGCATTGATCAAGTCAAACCCTTGTTACACGATACGAGATTGGAGAAACATTGAACATCCATCATTCAAGCGTTCACGACCACCTGAAGAAGCTGGGATACATACTAAGCAAGCTCGATATCTGGGTTCCTCATGAACTCAAAGAAGTTCATTTGACGGCGCATATAAAAATCTACGATATGCTCATTAAATGTGAGGAAAAAGATCCTTTTTTGAAGCGATAACTGGTGATAAAAAGTGGATTGTTTACAACAATCTAGTGCGCAAACAATCTTGGTCCCAACGTGATGATTCGCCTCAAACGACATCAAAAGCAGACATTCATCAGAGGAAAGTTATGCTCTTAGTGTGGTGGGATTTTATTTTATTATTATTTTTTTTAAAGATTTTATTGGGAAGTTGGGGGAGGGGAACAGTGCTGGGGAATCAGGGGAAGGAGAACAGACAAGTGGCTATTTTTTTGTTCTTCAGTCTAGTTGTGGAGGACGTTGCTTCACTGGCCCAAGTTGGTATTATCACTGCGCTCTTCCCGGGTGAGGCAGATCGGTCGCCGGCCTCTGGATGGCCGCTCATGGCAGCTCTTGGCAGCTAGCACTGGCTGCTGGCCGCTCACGCTGGCTACCGGCCACACATGGTAGCTCACGGTAGCCCACTGCAGCAGGGGCTGCAGGCTACGCCATCGCCGGTGACTCATGGCAGCCCAGCTCCAGGTTGAGTTGTTGTTCACCATCTTATCTGTAGAGGGTGCAGCATCACTGGCCTTCATGTGGGATCCGAACCAGGGCCCTGCTGCTCAGAGCTGGCATCCCAAGCCAGCTCTGAACCAACGCGCCACTCGGCTGGCCCTGTGGTGGGATTTTAAAGGTGTTGTGTTTTTTGAGCTCCTACCAAGAAACCAAACAATCAATTCAAATGTGTACTGTTGGGAATTGAACAGTTTAAACGAATCCATCATCCAGAAACGTCCAGAGCTCTTTAATCATAAAGGAGTTGTGTTCCATCACAACAAAGCAAGATGACACACAAGTCTGATCACCAGTAAAAATTATTGGAGCTTGGATGGGATGTGTTGCCACACCCACCATACATGCCTGACCTTGTGCCATCAGACTTCCATTTGTCTTGCTCTCTTCAAAATTCCTTGTGTGGTATAATTTTCAATTCAGATGAGGTTGTAATCAGCAATTGTTCAGTTTTTTGTCGATAAAGGCAGGTCCTTCTATGAACGAGGAATTATGAAGCTCACTGAAAGATGGCAAAAGGTTATCCAACAAAATGGGCAATATTATCACTGACTGATCTTTGTTCTTTATATAAATAAATGACCTTTGAAAAACAAAGAAAAAAATACGTCATGACTTTTCCTACAACCCAATATATCCATGAAAAACCTTTCCAAAAATAAGGCAAAACAAAGACTATTTCAAACAAACAAAGTGACAGAATTCATTATCAGCCTTGTGCTACAGAAAGAATAAACAAACCAGAAGGGTCTTCAGGCACCAGGAGTACAATACCAGACAGAAACTTGCATTGGAATACAGAAATAGAGCTCTCTGGGTTTGGTTTAACTGAAGGAAGACAACAGACGACTTTTATGTTTAATCAGTCTGAACGATAATGACTAAGCAAAAATAACAGCACTGGACTGTGGGTTTTCAGCACATAAAAAAATAAAATATAGACAAAAATGAGAGGGAGGATGTGGAACCATACTGCTCTAAGATCGTATGTTAAGTGGTAATAATATTAACTGAAGGTAGACTATGGCAGATTAAAGATATAGTGTAAACCCCAGGAAAACCGCTTAAAAACATCAGAAAAAGATGTAAGTAATAAAGCCAATAGTACAATAAATTGCCATCATACAAAATTTCAATACAAAGGGCTGAAAATAAAGAAAAAAGAATGACAGATGGCATAAATCTTAACTCTATTGACATGTCAAACTGTACTCCAATCCTACCAGTCATTACATTAAATGGGGATGGTGTAAACATACCAATTAAAAGTACACTGTACAGGGCCAGCTGAGTGGCACGTTGGTTAGGAGATGGCTTGGGATGCCAGCTCTGAGCAACAGGGCCCTGGTTCAGATCCCACATGAGGGCCAGTGACACTGCGCCCTCTACAGCTAAGATGGTGAACAACAGCTCAACCTGGAGCTGGGCTGTTGAACGTGAGTCGCCAGAAACAGAATAGCCTCCAGTGGGGCTGGCTGGCAGTGGGCGTGAGCTTTCGTGACCTGCCATGATCGACTGTCTAATGGCTGGTGACGGATCTGCCTCACCCGGGAAGAGCGCAATAATAATACCAACATGGGCCAGTGAAGTGACGTCCTCCACATCTAAACTGAAGAACAAAAGGACAGCAACTTGTCTGTTTCCCTTCCCCGATTAACCAATGTTGTTACCCTCTCAATTCCCCAATAAAATGTTTTAAGAAATAAATAAATAAAAGTAGACTGTATAAAGACCCAACTGCATGCTATCTAAAGAAAGCCCCTTCAAATTTATAGGCAGAGACAGGCTAAGATGGAAAGGTACAAATGTGCCGGGAGCATCACTCCAAGGAAGCCAGGGCGGCCGTGTTAATGTCAGACCACCGAAATCTCAGAACACAGGTTATGATGGGCACACAGAGGGATGCCACACCAAGACGGTGGGGTCAGCTCACCAAGAAAACACGTGTTCGGAACAACAGGGCTTCAGAGCCCATGAGGCCAAGTGCGCAGAGCTGGGAGGGGAAGCGCGGCTGCTGAGAGCTCGGCTCTTCCCTCGGGAACAGACAGGACGCTCGAGCAGAACCAGGTCTGGCTCTCGGCCAAGCTGGGAGTCACGCGACTGCATTTGTCAAAATTAAGAACTACACACAAAACAGGTGACTTACTGCGTGGGAACTGTACCTCAATAAAACTGACTGAAAAAGGAGACAGAGAGAAAAGGAGCTTCTTTTGAGAGCTGCTACCAGCTAGAGATGAGACAGGCTGAGCATCAAAAGACAAAAATAATCCTGGGGAAACGCAGCGGCCCCAAAATTTCTTGGGATCCCACATAAAACAGACATTGCAACTAGATAGCAAAACCCAAACCCACAGAAACATGCACAGCAAGCCCAAGTCACCACAGCGCAAGGCAGGTGCATGGAGTGGAGGCAGACCGCATGAGCCATGGCCTGCATGACTGTGCCCGGCAGGGACGAGGAAGCTGAAACAGTGTCTTGAGGACCCAACTACAGCGAGGCCCTCACAATGAGGGCCAGCCGAGGACCCTGGGGAGTAGGCAACTCCCCAAGGATGCAGGGGCCAAGGGGCCACCAACAGGCCCCTGTCCAGTCCAGGGCACGAGGACACCAGAGAGAAGCTGCTGGGACTGCGTCAAAACTGAACGGGACACAACAAGCAGTGAGGAAAGGAGAATGCATATCCCAGGGGCCCTCAAGATCTTTTACACTCATGAAAATTATTGAGGGTCCCAAAGAGCTTTTGTCCAAATGGTACTCATCTATGGATATCTGCTGCAGTGGAAATTAGAAAAATTTTAAGTGTTAATTTATTTTAAAATAAACCTATCACATTTTAATAAAAAAAGTATTTTCAAAAACAAAACAAAAATTGGGCTGGCTGAGTGGCTCAGTTGGTTAAGAACGCGAGCTCTGACCAACAGGGTCACCAGTACGAATCCCAAATGGGCCAGTGAGCTGCGCCCGAGCTGAGCTGCCAACAGGTGGCAGGATGGCTCAGCTGGTGAGAGTACGTGCTGCTAACAACAAGGTTGCTGGTTGGACTCCCACATGGGATGGTAGGCTACACCCACCCGCAACTAAGATTGAACACCGCACATTGACTGAGCAGCCGCGAGCTGCCGATGGGCAGCCAGATGGCGACTGGACCTGGAGCTGAGCTAGCTGCGCCCTCCACAACTAAGAATGAAGGATAACAACTTGGCTGTTCCCCTCCCCCAATTACCCAATTTAAAAAAAAAAAAAATGAGGAGAGTAGTACAGCTTTGTGCCATGTGGATGAATGGGACAGTGGGTCTCACGCCTGCCTGCCTGCACACGTGCTCCCCGTGGACACAGGACATGGGAACTCCTTTGGTGCCATGCCAAAGCACAGCTGGCGGTGCCCTAGGAGATCGGTGGGAGGAGAATCTGCACCACCCAGCATCATAGCTGTTATGTCAAGTCCACTGGTGTGTCCTGTACCTGAAAGCCTCTGTGACACTGACGACGACTGACGCCCGGTTACACATGTGTGCAATGCCACCATGCCCTCTGTGTGAGGGACTGAAAGACACACACTCACAGCGTCACAGGAGAGCAGCTGTGACCCTGCAGACTCCATGAAAGACGGCCTCATGGGCCAAAGACGGGGCAGCCTGAGCTTCAACAACAGCCAAACACAAAGAATTAGAGCCCATCAAATATGTCTAAACACATGAGTTCAGTGATATTTTAAAAGAAAGAACTAATTGGTCAACCTCAGAAGATGAGAGGAAACAAATTCACTATCTGAAAGACTGGGAAACAAAGAGAAAGCTCGAATATGTACCTGTGTGTCCTCTGTGACATGTGCCACTGGGTAATGACACAGCAGGTGAGGAGACAAGTCTCATTAGTAAACAAACAACAAATGACAGCCTATCACCATGAACACACATCAGAAAGGGCCAGTTGACAAAATGCACCTGCCCGGGTCCCACAGCTTCCTGCAGCCTCGCAAGGGGTTGGAGCGCAGCCTGGCCGTCTGTGCCAGAGGGAAGCACGGCCGGGCGGCTGAACGGCACCCTGTCTGCGGGGCCCAAAGACTCAGACCATGCAGTCAAATGGCCACGCTGTCCACAGACAGGAGGGCAGCCATGTCCCGGCCAACACGTACGCATGGGACACAGCTCTGCAGGCCTGGGGCTGGCTCCTCGCGGCCCCGTACCATGTCCCGACATTGGGGTGTTCACGAATGCTCACCCTGTACAGATTCACTGAGCCAAACGTGTGTCTTGTGCTGTTTTTGGGATCTGCTCATCTTACAACAAAAAAGTTTAGAACACACGGACACTGCATCCCCAAGATGCTAAAGGAAGGAAGGAAGGGAGGGAGGGAACAAAATCAAGCCATAGCAAGACATGAAGTCACCAACTCATTACTCTGAAAAATGGAAGACAGCCCCAGCAGCAACTATCTGTCCTGCCACCCAGTGTGACATGTCTCCAGAGCACCAAACAGCCCAGCTCGTGAGGCAACCCGAGCCACACAAGGCCTGCAGCAACCAAACACACAGAGCTGCTTCTAAAAAGGTGATGGATTCAGGCAGGAGTGACCAAGGACAGTGACGCCGTCGGGTAAAGGCTGAGGAGGAAGAGCAGGTGGGGGCACATAAACCCCAACTCACCTTAGCGTCGCCCTGATATGGTGTAGGGTGGGCTCATAAGGACCCCCAAAGCACTTACTAAGATTAAATCCAAATCAAGTGAAAAATCTACTCAAGTCTTCAAACCTAACTGTCAGACTACAGGTTCTAGAGGGACCGACTTAACAGAAAAGAAGCCAGCAGCCAAACCCAGGCTCTGGGATGCGGCTCGTCTGTCCCATTTCCTGAGCGAGTCAACAGCGTGGACAGGAAGGGGTGGCAGGGAGTGTCTGCGGCTGATGGACATAACAAGACAACACAGGCAGCACGCACAACGAGCAGAACGGGAGAACTGTGCGAGGACACATACGACTAGGGGCTGGCACTGCATGGAAGATGCCCGCGTTACGTCTGGCACAGCACAAACACGCCGTGGGGGGCTGAGTGGGGTCCGTCTTACAAGGCCAGCTCACCAGCAAGGACAGGCCAGGCTGGGGGGCCACAGCGCTGGAGACAGTGGGGGGGGGGAGACTAACAGGTTCAGAAGGTGGGTGCACTTGTTCAGTGTGAACAGAGTCCGTGGACGGGCTGCGTGTGGCGAACGCTTGGCAAATGACAACAGCACGTCAGGCCGGCTCTGGTGTCTAGACACCCACATGTGACTAAACCGACAGCGAGCCAGAAAACGGCTCTGAGAAATGAGCGCCCAGCAGAAGCACCGCTCAGGCTGTCCGGCCCAGGCCCGCAGCAGCTGCCTTTGAAAAGCGTCAGCTTTTCATCTTTTATCATCTTGCCACCTTTCTGCTGTGGCTGGGCCCTGAGTTTGGGGTCCCCCGGCAGAGGGACAGCACTCAGGGCACAGGCGCAGGTCATGCTGCAGTGAGTGACTGGGAGCTGCTTACTTCGTGGTCCACACTCTCCGTGGCCATGCACTGGTTGTTGGCGAGAGTGGTGATCTCTCGGCTTTTCGGGGTCTCCATCCGGCAGCTGCAGAGGGGCACTTCCTGGAGGCCATCCATCTCCACGGCATCAGGACCATTGGCCAGGCCTAGAGTTACACAGACACACGTGAGTGCCACCACCCGCAGAGCACGTGCCCAGACCGGCTCTCACTATCCCCAGTGACACGATCCCTACCTGGTAAGGGCAGTAAGAAAGCAATAACTCCACAGTCCCTGCAGAAGCCTCTGGTGCCGGAAGCACAAGCCACCGGTGGGACGGAAGGGGCGTCCCTCCAACCAAGACCCCACCACCAGGTCTGTCACACCCTGCTCGCCCGGTCCCAGGGGCCAGCACAGGCATTCACAGACACAGCACCTCCAAAAGCTCCTCCCAGCTCTTGGTTCTCACACAAAAAAAGCGCCGGCCACACAGTGACATGTTGTTTAGCTCACTGGCTTTTAGAATGTCGGCCCCCAAACAAACATTCAGCTGCACCGGGAAGGGCTTAATAACGGTTCACTTACTGTCGAGAACAATTTCCACCGACTACAACTGTTCAGAGGCCAGTTGTGAGGCTGAAGGAGGGTGAGTGAGAAAACCAGGGTTCGCATCAGACCTGCTGAAGCTGCACTCATACCCCTCGTCCCCATCTCACTGTGACCTCGCCAGGCCAGGCTATGCAAGGGAAAGAGGCCTGCAGCCCTCACCCCAGGCTGGCCTTGCGGACTGGGGCGCAGGCCGGCGGCGAGGAAGTCCCCTCCATCTCACCAGCAGCTACAGGGACGACTGTTCCCAAAGGCAGGCACGTCCCATGTTCTCTCACGTGAAACAGTCAAGTCACAAATAGGGCGAACCCATGTTTCCAGTACTCAGCACCTCTTCTTGTTAAGATTAATAACCTCTTGTCTATACGTCCAGAAACAAACCCAGGCTGGGTCGAAGGACACGCTCTAACTGCCCCCCTCCCCGTTAGAAACCTGAGGTTGGTCACAGCCTGGGACACTCAGGACACAAGTCCGTCCACAATGGACGGCAGGAACCTAGTGCCCGCACAGGAACGAAGCAGGTGGGCAACCCCATCTCATGCTGTCAGCAACGCCCAGCGCAGCCGAACCTCTGGGTGACCCACATCCCAGAGATGGACGCCTTTCCTTTGTGGAAGCAGGAAAAAGGTTACATACCACCACTACAAGTTTAAAACTGGGAGGGGGGGCCGGTCGAGTGGCTCAGTTGGTTAAGAGACGCAGCCACCAGAGGGGTCAAATGGTTCTGGCAAACCCCAGCTGAGTGTCTGCCAAGCTCTGCCTCTCTGCCCCACCCACAGCTCCATGTCACCTGGTAGGGTCCCACCACTCAGCCTCAAGGCACAGACTGCGAGCAGAGATGATGAGAAGTGGATAGGCCAACAGAGACCACTGACCGGGGTACAAACATACTCTAGGGTCAAGCATAACCCAGAGCTGTCACCGCACTCTGGCCCTGTCACAGGTGCATAGCACCCCGTGTCTGAGGAGGATGGCTACAGCCGAGCCAGGCAACGAGTGCGCAGGGTGCTGGCTGTCCAAGCCTACGTGTGGCCGACAGGTCCACCAGTGTCGCCAGCCCAAGAAAGCCAACTTCGGGAATCAGCATACAAGGTGTCAGGGACCACAGGACACCTCGGTCCACTACCCTCTTCTCCACATCAGCTCTCACCAGTGCAGCTGACTTGGGCCACTTGGGGTCCTTCACTGGTCTTTTCCAGTTACTGGGACCACTTACTCTGACCAGACACAGAGCATGAGGGTTTAAGGGCGGAAGGCCCTGGAACGCCGTCTCCCTGCCCCCCAAGGCCACCATGTCCCAGCACATTCCACTGCCCCCCCCCCCGCAGCCTTCTCCCCTTTGGCCCCTGGGGCACTGTGGACAACCCAATCTGACAGAGAGAAATAGGATTTCCTGCTTGCAACTGAATCTGTAACTGCCTGAGACAAATGTAAACACAGGGTAAGGAAAATCAAGCACACGGCCTGACACCTGATCTGGAGAGAAGGGCTACGTAGCTCTGCCGAGGAGCTCTCGATACTGGAGAGGGCGCTCTGCTCCATTTGGTAACGAGAAGAAAACTAGTCAGCTCCCCATTCACTAAGACTTCAGTTTATGTCTTAGACTAGAGACATGACTTCCCAAACTAAAGAGGTGATCAAAATTCCTCTAGTGTTCCAATCGCGAAAAAGCTGGTTCCCTGTCCTTTTAAAGAATGACTGGTTAAACCCCTACGGCGGTTGCACCCCACAGCTGCAAACCCACGTGGGGAGTAAGGAACTATGGGGCAGCACGGCTTCTCCACATTACATTCCAAGTGCGTTTCCCAAACACAGGAAGTTATTAGCTACTCTGCACTGATAAAGGCCCGCGGAGAGGAAGCGTGAGCGCTGGCACAAGGCTGGCCAAGTTGCTGGGCACCTGTGGCTGCGAGGCCCCAGGGCAGCTCTGCGCGGGTGCAGCGCCCACTGCAGGCCGTGCCCAGGCACTGTCAGCTCCACTGGAGCCAGCTGACGCGCTCGGCCAACCACAAGACTCTGGCATCATTCCTCATCACGCATCCGCGTATTTCTGAAGCTTGGCTGGGTGGGCGGCCTTTCCACCAGCAGCTGTGTATGAAAATGTGCCCGAACAGGGGGACAAGGGGTGACCTATGTCCTGCAGACCTGGACCTTCCAGTAGGACTGGCTACTCTATCCCTGAGGGTGTCTTCACTCAGAGGCTGCAGTGAGACACATGTTCCCTCAGTGCATGGCAGCACTGTGACACTCACCTTCCTCTTGAGAGGTTGGGGTCCCCTTGACGCGCAGGTCCAGGGAGTCCAGACAAACCTCCACGTACGCCGAGCTTTCTCCTGATGCCGCAATCTCTGTGCTTCCTGAAGACGACGCATAGGCTTCAGAACCTGCATTCAAAGGGCACCATGAACACTGTGGGGCAGCGCCAACGAACACGCCCAGGCAACGCACACTGTCACCAGGCCCAACCACCCCAGCAGCACCACATCACCGACTGGCGCCATTCTGTTGCTTCCTCCACATCCAAGGACACTCATAAACGCAAGGGGTCCGCATCAAGAAAATCAAAGGCACTCACGTAAATGATACTTATCTGAACTACTGGCTAGAGCTAGACAAAAGCTGATCGAATACTCCTGGGAAGGGACACACAAACACCCCCCCGCAGCCTTCTGTGGTGATGGCTTCCAAAACGAAGCAATGAACTCTGGATTGCAGGGAGCAAACCAGCCGATGAGCAGGAGCTGAAGATGCAAGCAGCCCGTACATGCGAGCCTTGGGCTCCGCCCAGACTGATACCTGGGACCAGGTGCAAGGTTGTCCATATCCACCGCCACATGTGCTGGTTTAGGACGTGGGGAGCTCATCAGAGGGCAACACATTCTGACCACGCCGAGAAGCAGGCATGTATGCCCAAAAGGGGCCTGTGAGCAGGTCCCAAGATGGATAATGGATGGAGGACAGCGGGTGGAGGGTGGAGGATGGAGGATGTGAACAGATGGAGGACGGAAGGTGGAGGGTGGATGGACGGTGGAGGGTGGATGGAGGATGGATGGTGGAGGGTGGATGGTTTTACGGATGAACGAACGAAAGATACCGTTTAGCAAGTCCAGAAACAGCCTACACACTGTCTTCAAAGGTTCAAAGAGTGAAACAGAGAAAGTCTACTCAGCCTGTGGTGCTGGAACAACTGGACATCCACATGCAGAATGTGAATTGGAGCCCACCTAACACCACACACAGTAACTAACTCAAAATGGATCAGGGAGATCCATGTATAAAGGGCTAAAACTGTAAAACTTCAATAAGAAAAAAGACAAAATCTTTGTGACCTTTGTCAGTGAAAGATTTCTGAGATCAGAAATAGCATCAATTTTGAAAGCAAATAGCATTAAATTAGACTGCAACAGAATTTTATAAACTTTTACTAGGTGAACACATTTGTAAAACATGTATCTGACAAGAAACTTGTACCCAGAACACTGTACGAACTCTTGCATCTGAGTGGAAGGTACACAATCTAATTTAAACAAGCAAAAGATATGAACACTCTCCCCAGGAAGACAGGAAGGCTGAGGTGTGAGCCTCCCTGTTCGTCAGGAAACTCGAAGTGGAGCCAGTCCTGCTCACCACAGCCTGGGCCGCAGAGGCACCAGCGCTCAGAACGCAGTCTCCTCAGCTAAGAAGTTAGACACACAGCATATGCTTTAACCACCCCGCTCCTAAATATTTACCCAAGATAATGAAAGCATGTGTTCAATCAAGACTTATACACGAACGTCTGTAGCAGCTTTACTGGTGAGAGCCCCTAACTGGAAAGAACCCACTGCCCACTCCCACGAGCAGGAGCGAAAAGCACCCTGCGACAGCCCTGGCCAGGGGTCCTTCCTGCCTCCAGTTGGTGGGTCCAACAGTGTGGAGGACTGTTATGTGCTAAGTGGTCCGGTCACACCACGGCCCACACAGCACTCCCTGCCACCTGTAAGGAGAAAGCTCAGGTGCCGGGGGACGGGGAAGGCTGGCAGGGGCACGGGACTCAGCAGCTGGTGGGCGTTCAGACAGTGAGTGTGCTGGAGGTCTCACCATCACACACACATGTCAAAAGTCACCTGCTCTGCACCTGAGTTACGTCCACTTTAACAAATGCCAAGTCTCCCGATACAGTTGCAGAAGTGACCCTGGCCCCCTGGGCCTGCAGCCTCCAGACTCTGAGGGCCATGTCCTTCCCTACGGTCCGTGAATAAAATTACTTCTGGAGCAGAGGAGCCAACCCAAGGGCCAAAAGCTGCCCACACAGGACTCTGAGGGTGCACACAGGCCACAGATTCCCAGTCACATAGGGAAGGTGACAAATGACCCCCATCAACTCAACAGTCAACAAGGAAGGCAGTGTTAACAGGAGGTTTGCCGGGAGAAAGGCACTTTAGGATCACCCAAGTGTCTCTCACAAAGTGATTCCAAACACTATTTTTTTTTTTTACAGTGGAGCCCCCTTTCCAAATGAAATCCTACAGAGAATCCCCCACCCCCAGGTGGCTTCTGGCCAACGCCGGCCCTGCGGCCCCAGCCTGGCCACGGTGCTCACCCAGCAGGCCGCTTTGCTTCTTCCTGTTTCTCCGCCTCCTCTTCCTGGCCGGCTTGACCCAGGGGCTGTCTGGCTTCCCTTTCCTCCTGAGGAACTTCTTCTTGATGCTGGATTCGGAGCTCTGAGAACCAAAGGGGCAGGAAGGGAGAGTGAGCATGGACACTGCTGAACGCAGAGTGCTGGAAGCTCTGTTCTCTTGCAAAATGAAATACCTAGTACATCTCCATTCTGCAGCTACAAAATTAATTTCACTTTTGACACTTTTCTGGGTCATACGCTTAAAGATACCAGGCTTTCTCCCAAACATCACTTTAGTTCATTTATTTTACAGGTGAAAAACGAGGGGGTGGGGGCAAGAAAATTAAAATGGACTGTATAAATCTCATTTGAGTTTAGCATAAAAAGAATAAAAGAGCAGGTCCTACCCAGGAACTGAACAAGCTCAGGGAGAGAACGCCTTTTATCAAGGGCATCCTTTCGTTTTCCTCATGAGGAAATGACAGTCAGTGCCCCAGTTGGGTTCAGACTCTATGGCCAAATCCTGTACCAGAAAGCAAGGGATGGTTGGAACTGGCTCCTAATGTTTCAAGACTGTTTGAGAACGTTTTTGAACTCTAGCTGTTGAAAGGGCACCTAACTGGCACGAATGCCACAGACACATGACGTGAAGCGCCAGCGCTTTGTAACCAGTCTAATCCGCGGCCCTCACGCTTCCTATGACATAGGAGACGTCTGAAACAGACAGACACAGCAGGGTGGGGCGCCGGCTTCTTGGGCAGCCACCCTGGTGACGGAGCCCTGGCCCCACGGGGAGCAGCCCCCCACCCAGCACCCCAGGCCTCACCCTGGGGCCCCCTTGACACCCTGCACCCAAAGCTCACTGTCGCTTGGGTCCACTGCCCCCGACATTCCCTTGTGTCGTCCACCCACCCTATAAGCTACACCTATGACCATGTTCTCCTTCTTAAGAGCCTATCTCAGTCCATGAGACCCCGAATTCTGAGCTCAGAGACCCCTTTCTGGTCTTACCCTGGCTCATCCTGGTGGGTGCTTGCATGGCCTGGTGCCCCACCCGGGCCTGGGCCCCAACCCCACCTCCGTGCCATCTGCACTTGGCTGCCCCCTGGTAACACCGGAGAACTTGTTCCTGTCCCTCACCTCCATGTGACAGCCAGCCCACCAAGAGGAGCTGCCAATTCTACCTGACACCTCCAGTCCCTCCTTGTCTCACAGTCACAACGGCAGAGTCACCACCGCTGTCCGTGTTGCCAGCTACTGCCCCGTCCAACCCCCCCCCCGCCATGCCCACGGCCTCATACTGGGTGCTGGGACCCCATCTGCCTGCCGTCCTCGAGGCCTGCTTGCAAACACACACTAAGGCACAGCGAGGGACAAAAGGGAGGGACCTCGCAGCGGCCCCGCGACCGTTCCGACTCAGCGCAGCGCTGCTGCTTACCAGGTCCGACTCATCCCCGTCCTCCTCCTCCTCCCCGGTGCCGGCCGACTCCTGCTCCTCTTCAGACTCGCCATCCATCTGAGCGGCCACGACATGCCACAAAGGAAACAGACACCACTGAGACCTCCCACCAGAACACATTTTCCAAACACTGGCGGTGCACATGGGTACCCCTGCCCCAACCCTAAGAGTCCTTCACAGCAGACGGCGCCCAAGCCGCGTTTCCACCTCAACCTGGAAGTACAGACTGACTCCCCAACCTCACATGACCTGAAGATGGCTCCCCAGAGGTCGCCAATGGCCAGAGTTGCCAATGGCATGCTGGAGGAGTGGCTGGTGCATTCTGTGCGTGGCAGACATCAATTAAAAAGTCACAAAACAGGGACGGCCAAGTGGCTCAATTGGTTAAGAGTTAGCGTAAGAACACAAGCTTTGAGCAGCAGGGCCACTGGTTTGATTCCCACATGGGCCAGTGACAATGCACTCAAGCTGAGCTGTTGCTGAGCTGCCAACAGGTGGCAGGATGGCTCAGCTGGTGAAAGCATGTGCTGCTGCTAACTAGGCTGCCTGTTCGATGGTGGGCTATGCCTGCCCACAACTAAGGCCTGAGCTCAGCACCTTGAGCTTAGAGGCCACGAGCTGCTGACGGGAAGCCAGATGGTGACTGGCGCCCTCCACAATGAAGATTGAAGAAGAACTTGGTTGGTCCCCTTACCCAATCCCCTAATTTGAAAAAAAAAAAAAAAAAGTCACAACACACACATGGTAAAAAAACACTTCAGAGGCCACAAAATAATGTAAAATGCAAAATCTACCCCAACCCCCAAGAGCCCCGTGCAGGCCCAGTGGCCAAATGTTGGTGCAACTCAGGCTCCTCCAGCAGAGGCTTGAGCACAGGGCGTCTCCCGTCTGCACAGATCACAGAGTCCGGGCACACAGACTGCTGGGCACTTTCTTCTAAGTAAAAAGACGCTTTGGAGCTCGTTGCATACCAGGACAGCATTGATTCCTCCTTTGTTTACTGCTGTATTTACCTTTTCTATCCACACAGGTGAATATACTCTCAGTGCAAACGACGCAAAAATACACAAAGCACATACTCGCCCCTTCACACACCCTCCAAGGAGGGGTTGCTCACACGCGTCCAGTGGGCTGCCCAGGTGTCCTCGGCATGCCCTGACCCACCAGCAGCTTCACCCTGGGGCTGTGTTCCAGATACGCCAAGAGCCTCCAGGACAGACGATAGGCCATGGTGCCCTCTGCACAGGATCAAGCACCCCACGGCACCGCAGCCTCCAAGGGGGTCACACGCCCCAGGACAGAAGGCGCGAGATGGTTCCGACTTCACTGCACTTTCCCACCTGTCCCACATATGCCTTACGTGGTCTCATCCTCAGTCCGTATTTCCACGGGGTCCCTGTTTTCTGACACATTTGCAGAAGCTCCACACACAGGAGTGTAACGTTTCTTACAAATGTTTTCCCCATCAAGTTCTTTAAGCTTTCTGGCATTTCTCATTGCACCCGTCAGACATGTCCATCTTCCCTTTGTGAGCTCTGGGTTTGCATGTTGCACTAGAAAGCCTTCCTCCTTGCAGGTGAGAAAAATCGTTTCCAACATTTTCTTCCACCACTCAATCTTTTGTGCTGGCACTAAATCTTCTGGAATTTACTTTTAAATAACAGCTTTACTGAGACAGAATTCACCAACCCTAAAATTCATCTTTTTGAAGTATACAAAGGGGTGGTTCTCAGTATATTGAGTTATGCACCCACCCCCCACCCCCAATTCCAGAATGCAGCTCCATTTGCTACCTGCCATCTTTCCCCACAAAGACCAGTCAGTTGCTCCAACAACGTTTACTGGAAAGTACAAGCCCCCTTGAGCCCATCCTTAGTACAAACTGCATCTGTACATTGGAACAGGATGTCGTGGACAACCCCCCGCCGCCCTCCAGCATGAGCTCCCGTTTCGGTCACTCTGCAGGTTCAGAGCTGCTGGCCTCTCCCTGTTCTGCTTTCACCTGTCCCACCGAGTCCTGCAAGGACGAGAGCTTTTCTGAATTTATGGATAATGCAGAGGATAAAACAATGGTTATTTTCATTCAGACAAAGAATGGGTCTTTCCGTGATTGTGCCTTTTTCTTAAATCTCTTTCAGCAAAGTTTCAATTTTCCTCTTGTAGGCAACAGACATTTCTTGTTAAATGTATTGTTAAGTACTCTGCGTGTTACAATTTATAGCTAAAGAATTATAGGTTTTTGTAATATTAAAATAATAAAATTACACTTTATAGTTTTGAGGCATGGATGCCATGGTTGTGTTTCTCAGAGTCCGTATCTTGTGAAGGTCCATCTGACACATCTGCTTTAAGACCAGCCGTGTGCTAGACAGCGGGACTGGCCAGGTACTGACAACATTCACTGTTTCAGACATCCAGAAAAAGTTCTCAATTTTTCTATTGAGAAGTTGAAAACCACAGGCATTGATCGATGTATGCTGCTGTCATCACCTCTGCAGTTACAAGGACACGAATGGTTTTATGTCTTGATGACGTCTACGTTCAGCTCACTAACTATAACACACAGTCAGCCGATGTTCTTGCATTTTTTAAATGGATGAGTATATTCTCAGCAAACTCTCCCCCTCATCCTTTAAATATTAATGTTTCCTATTGGTTCTCGTTCTAGGACGATGACCGCTTGGGTGTTCATACTGGCAGACTGTGGCAACAGCTCCCTCTCCGTCACGGATATTAACATGCTTTAAAATTTTCACCATGAAGTAGAATAACCTTTTCCGTAGGATTCTGGCATCTTTAGTCCCCTTTATTTAACATGTTATCTTTAAATTTCATTGGGTAGTTTTTCACTTTGAAAAGACTGAGCAATGAAACTACCAATTAAAACAAGCAGATTAACAAGTTCATTAACTACCGTTCCTTCCAAGAGGCCTATCAAGTGACTGTAAAGGAAGGAACAGGGTAACGTTATAAAGGGTCACTTAATAACTGCACATACGACAACTGCCAGGAACAAGGCGCAAGTGGAAACCCGAGGAAACTGGAAAGAGAAGGGACAACGGCAGACATAACTGGGGTCAAATACTGAACAGGGAGATCACGGCACACAAAGGCTCAGCTGGCAGTTGGCAAGCAGGCGGCCATGGCCCAGCAGGACACGGCTCTGGTCACCAGGCCAGGAAGTGAGGGTCCCATGCCCCAAACCATGCAGCACCCAACTGCCTGCCATGTGACCAGTCCTCCACTGGCTTCCAATCCAAACAGCAAGGCAAGGATGCCAGTCAGGCAAGTGACCGGGCAGCCACAGTGGGAAAAGGTACCAGCCTACCACACTGACAACACACAACAGCTGTGGCCCCACAGCCCCGAGAGGGTCTCAGAGACCCCAGGCCATTTTAAAGCCACTGTTACATAACAATGAAAACAAACTAATAATTTAAGCAAATCCCACAAACATAAGCACTGAGTAAAATAAGCCCCACTCAGAAAAGAAACGCACCTTGTGGACTCCATCTACGCAAAGAACCAAACAGAGAAGATGACCGCAGACAGCAGGCGTCGCACGGAGAAGGCGGTGCCAGTTGGTGCAGCCAAGCTGTGATCGCGAGCAACTGTCCTTGTCGTGATGCCATCAGGAAGTTACCCAAGTCCAAAGCACCGAGCTGCGCCCCAGCTTCCTCAGCCTCCCTCTCACATTCTAAGCATCAGGAAGTCCTGGCAATGGCCAGGGGACCAGCTCTTCTGGGCTCAGCCCACGTCCTTGACCCATCATCTGCACCCCCACTGTGTGTGACCCACGCAGGGTCACCTGGGCCGGGGCCGGGCATCTCGGGGCCGCCCCCAGTTTACTGGCAAGCCTGACTAGGCTGCTCCTGCCATCTTATTCTGTTTCCCACTGCCCACACTGTCCTCCCGATTCCGCTTTTGTTTCTTGGTTCTTTAGTTAGCTTGGCATCCATTTGATTTTTTCCTTTATATCATATCTGGAGCTCTTCCACATTATTCAGTGTCTAGATTCTCACTGGACTACAACAACCTCGATGAAAATAGAGAATCCAGAAATAGACACAAACGCATAAGCCACATGGTAGAAGACAAAGGTGGCATTTTAAATCAGCAGGGAAAACGTCCACCGATAAGTGCTTTTGATAACACGTGGCTACACGTCTGAGGGAAGCCATGGACACTGACCTCATGTTTTGTCTAAAAAGCTTTGAGATATAATTTATATACCATAAAATTCACCGATTTTTAGTATATCTACTCACATGTTTTATCACCCAATAAATTCTATATGAATCAAATATTTCTACACAAAAATGAAACCCACTGTGTTACAAGACAGTTCACATCAATTTACTCAGAATCACCGATAAGAAAGGCCTGCTTATCGCAGTGAGAACACAGAACCCAGCAATCGCAGCAAAACAGACCAGGGCCATGGGTTCTGACATCCCAGGCCAGGCTGGAAGACGGAGCCCCCAGGGAACTGAACACAGCTAACATCGGCACCACAAACCACCGCTATTCACACAAAGGTCCTGAGACTGCTACATGGAAAAGAGCAGGTGAAGAACACTCAGCAGTCCTCACAGAGCACGGAGACCGTGGGAAGCTGGTCAGTCCACTCAGAGCTGCAGCCAAACCCTGCGGGTCCAGCAGTGCAGACTGTAGGGCCAGACAGGAGGCGCACGCTAGGAGATGACCCGGCAGTAAACGGTGCATCTCAAATACACAGTGCCCACGAGAACGCTCACAGGGGCGGCGCTGGTGCCCCCGGAGTGCACAGCTGAGTGTACAGCAAGCAGTGCCGCCCGGGAGGGCAGGGGGAGCATGGCTGTGTGTGGCCGCAGCCACAGTGAATGAGGAGAAGGGCGTTGCATAGGGCTCCTGAGGGGTGAGGGCGCTGGCACCAGTGGCTGGGGTATGCTGGCCGTGTGGGACGTGGGGGCTCCTCTGACTACTATTTAGGACGCCACACAGGGGATTAGGGTGCTGCTTCTCTAAGTGAAAAGAAAAACACTAATAAATGAAATTTTAAAACAAATAATTTTAAAATTCCCTTCAAATCTCTAATGTTAGCATTTCCACCAGTTTACCAATTTACTTTTCAATAATTACCTAAGTACTGGGGCAATGTTTTCAAATTCGCCCCAAAACCTGCTAAAAGAGAAGAATGGGCATTAACTGGCTAAAGATGGGTCTGAAACTTGACCTGGAGGACACAGTGTGCATGTCGGCTACCGCACAGCACACGTGGACACAGAGTACAGCTCAGGGACCCATTGCCAGGTCCCTCGGCAAGGCTGCTGCAGTCACGGCGGCTGCCTGAACCCGCCTGCCTGTGTGAGCTTCAGGGCAACTCTTCAGCCGGGACAAGATCAAGGCTTTTCTCACAGAGTAGGAGACGAGGACAGTACAGTCACCACTGTCTGTGTCGCCCCCCAAGGTCCCCCTCTAACTTAGCACCTCAGAACTGAAACAGCATAACGCAGCGCAGAAATCGTACCCATCCAGGGCCCCGGAGACCCTGGCCTAGTGCTGAGCCCCAGGCCACCTGCAGGCAGGGCCCAGCCAGCAGGGGCCACTGCATGGCCACCTCGCAGAGCTTGTCCTCTGGGGGGGGAGCGGGGAACCCACGGACGAAGCACCCAGAATGCGGACACAGCAGGCGTTCAGAGCGCAGGCAGCCAGCAGCCCTGCATCTCAGAGGCCCAGCACCGAAGGGGCCAAGACACGACGAGCAGCCGCCACAGTCACGGTAGTACCGCTGGCTCCATCCAGCGGAGCCTAAGGAGGCTGGGATGCTGCTTCAGTGAACGCTGTGCAGCATGACAAACACTTCCCTGATGAAAATAAACCGATTTAAAACTCAAGAGAAAACAGACCAAAGTCCAAGTCACAAGCGAAGGGGACCCGGCAGGCCCGGAAGAGTCGGGCTCCCGGGGACGGATCCACGTAGGAGGCCTACCTTGTGCGTGGGCTCTGCCCCCGCCACGCTCTCTTTCGAAGTCCTGCTGTCCTCCGGGGGGAAGGCGGCCGCCTGCTCGGCTCCCTGGTCCTCGTCCTCGTCCAGCTCCTCCGAGTCGTCATCCTCCGAGTCCATGTCCAAGCTCTCGCCATTCACATGAAGGGCACTGTCACCCAGCTCCTTCTCGCCCTGGAACAGCCCAGCACGTGGCGTCAGCACAGCCAGCTGCGGCACCCTGGGCGGGGCCTCAGGTGGAGGTGCGCTGCGGCCTCGGCCCCAAAAGGAAAAAGGGGCCCAGGTCGCCCACACCGCGCCGCCTCCCGCAGCGCTCCTGGGCCTGAGGTCCTGGCGCGGGCGCATGTTCCCCCCGCGAGCACGCTGCGAGCGCCGCTTACCTTGGAACCTGCTGTGGAGTGAGTTATGCTCTTAAACATCTCAATCACCGTCCTCTGTTTTAACACTTTGGTCTTTTTCTTAGGAACCAGGCTATAGGTTCCCATTCTTCGTTTTTTCTTCCGAGATACTGCAGCTGCTAAAACAAAAGGCAAGGAAGCTAAAAAAAAAAAAAAAGTCAAAAGGGGACAAGAAAAGAAATGCCATTCAAATGTTTTTCAAAGATAGGTGACCGTTTACAAGATCATCAGCACAACACACAGTGGTGGAAGTTCTTACTGGTCGTAAACCAGGCTGTTTGTTTTATTGACAACAAAACACTACACGTGTGGGTGCAGGTAGGGATCTGCCACCGAAGAAGACACACCATCAGAAGCAGGGCCCCAGAAGCCCAGCTAGGAGCAGTGTGGGGGGACAGTGAAGGTCACGGGCAGGACATCTTCCCAATGAGTGAATCACACGTCTCTAGACGCGTCCCACTAAGGAACAGCCACGCAACAGTGCCCACGGGGACCCTTCCCATCACCTTGCCCCTCGCTCAGCAGTCAGGAACCAAGGGGGCCAAGGACCCTGAAGTGACTGCAAGTCTGCGAGGCGAGCAGGGGACCGCGTGGGGCCTAACCCTCCTGATGCAGCAGCTGCAGGCAGACTGGTTTGCAGAATGTTGCTCTCTACAATATTTTTTTTACAAATTCCAGGCTTTAAAAAAGACCTGAGAGAGGCCAGCTGAATGGCGTGTTGGTTAAGAGTTGGCTTGGGACGCCAGCTCTGAGCAGCAGGGCTGCCGGTTCGGATCCCACATGAGGGCCAGTGACGCTGCGCCCTCTACAGCTAAGAAGGTGAAGAACAGCTCAACCTGGAGCTGGGCTGCCGTGAGTCACCGGTGACGGCATAGGCTGCAGTGGGCTGCCGTTAGCTACCGTGAGTGGCCGGCAGCTGGCGAGAACGGCCATGAGCTGCCATGAGTGGCCGACCAATGGTTGGCAACCAATCTGCCTCACCCAGGAAGAGCGCAATAATACCAACATCGGCCAGTGAAACAACGTCCTCCACAACTAGACAGCAACTGCTCTGTTCCCAATTCCCCACCGCTGTTCCCTCCCCCAACTCTCCAATAAAATCTTTAAAAAAAAGAAAAAAACCCTGAGAACCGTGGTTGTAACACAGAGAAACTCTACTAAAGGCTGAAAAAGTACCTTTTTTCTAGTTCTACAAAATCAAAGAAAAGAAAGCTGGAAGGGCCACCAAGGCTGTGTGGCAGAGCTGGTGTGCCTCCACCTGGGGACGGCCGCCACGCAGTCCTGCAGCGTGCTCATGGCAGTGAGCAGGGGGTCATCTCAATGACATGAGCTAAGGAGGGGCAGGTGTGCCAGCATGAAGAACGGCCCTGCGTGACTTCACGAGGGACGACAGTGTGTGCTATGTAACCATGTGGGCCCTGCCTATGGTGCCGGGGCTGGAAAAGACAGGACAGTCCAGGACCATCACCACAGTGACATGCAGTCTTAAGTCCCAGAGATGACCCGTGCGCAGGTCCCACCCCTTCCACGGAAAAACCACACCCCTGGACAGAGAAGAGTGGGGTTTGCAGAACAAAGCTGACAGGCTGTCCCCTTCCAGGTCTGCATGAACACTGTCACAAACGCCTGTATCCACAGGGGCCACACAAGTGAACACTCTGCGTCCCCACGATGCTGACAGGTGCATGAGCAATGCTGTAATGAGGCGAGGCGGCCGAGAGGGTGCCACCTGTGTAGGCGACACCTGCAGGCCCAGGAATCGTGACTTCAGCACCCTCGCCGGGGGTGACAGCACCAGGTGCAGATGGGCCTGGGGAGCATCTGTAACAGACCAGTAGGCTACGTGCTGGTTGGAACTGTTTCACACTGTCCCAGACTAACACACTAATTAGCCCCATTTCCAGCTGACCAAGAAAGAAGCTGTAGAAGGATGAACGGCGGGAAACTGCTAAGCCCACTGAGTATTTCTTTTTGGAAAACTCAGATTAAAGAGACAATGAAATAATAAACCTAAAATAGAAAAAATCTTAACACTCTAACAGAAATACTAACATCTGACACTGCTGGCCAATCCTTACACACATGGATGCAATTCTGTGGTTTTGAAAAGTGCCAGATTTAGCTGCTTAAAACAGATAATGACAAGTCAAAACAGCCAAACAGCAGGACGTTCCCTAACTCCCACGCTCCACAGACAGAACAGGGCGTCCTTCTGGGGAGGCAGTCACTTGCAGGGCTGACCGGGGAGGACAAGACAACCAGGCCTCACAAGCCATAAGGCCACATCACAGTGCTCAGGAGCCAGCCTGAAGGGACAAACCTGGGACAATGTGGCAATGATATGAGGGAGTAGAGCCCAGAGACTCAAGTGAGAATCCACGTACTGAAAACAAACGGATGGGAAGGTGAAGCACTTCCTTACGGTAGAAACCCCTCTAGCAAACAGAGGGAACTACAGGGTTACCCCTGCACCACCCCATGGCCATCAGTCGGGCAGGTGTCCTCAGATGCTGAACCACCTGAACCACCAGGCAGGATGTGAGAAGCAGGACGTGTGCAGAGCTCCGAGTCTGCCCTCCCAAGACACACAGTGACCGCCATTCGGGAAACAACAGCTGTATGAGTGAGGCCTGCAGACCAGCCTGGCCAAGGCAGGACCAACGGCCACCACACACCCCCACAGACATGCCGTGAAGACACACACCCCTCAGGACGTTTCACGGCCTGAGCCTGAGCCTGATCCAGGGAAACCGCAGTGACCCACACGAGGAACATTCCAGATTAAGGACACTGAGAAGGCACCACCCAGTGACTGTAGGGCCTGACTGGAGCCCGCAGCTGAAATGCTCCCCTGTGCTGGGAGGGCTTTAATGGGGCGACTGGCAGAGCTGAGAACAGCCTGGGAGGAGCGGGGGCCCCAACTGTGGTGCCGCTGCAGCCTGCTAAGGTGGTGTCCTTGTGTCGAAGGAGCAGCAGTGAGATACTGAGAGGTTAAGGGCCACTGATGCTCGCGGCTTCCTCACGCTTCAGAAACGAATGGCTCCAGGTGAGGAGAATACACACCCGTGCACAGTCAGGTGAGGACAGCATGGAGACATTCCCTGCACAGCTTCTCACCGTTCTGGGGTCTGAGAATACTTCTGAGTATGGAGTACCCAAAGCCCAGAGGAAGATGGCGCCAACCAACCGTCCACCCAGACAGCCCAGCACTCTCAGTGCCAAGCTGAGCCCGTGCTTTGTGCTCAAGGCACACCCACCCAAACATCCCGCAAAAGGCTCCAACAAAAACCAAATGTCAGGACCCCAACTTCTGTGAACAGAAGCTTAGGACAGTGGGAGGCGCTTCGGGGAAAGAGGTGGACAACGGAACTAGGAGGAGACGCTGTCCTCCGTCCCCACACCCTCAACCCGCCAGCCTCCCCACCACATAAACGGGGCCAGTTCCAAACCCAGTCTCCTCCCCTGCTGGACCATGGCACTGTAGGTTCAGTAAAGAAAACCACCTTTGGGCCGGCCGAGTGGCTCAGTTGGTAAGAGCTGGCTTGGAAGCACCAGATCTGAGCAGCAGGGCCCTGGTTCGGATCCCACATGAGGGCCAGTGACGCTGCGCCCTCTACAGCTAAGATGGTGAACAACAGCTTGACCTGGAGCTGGTCTGCTGTGAGTCGCCGGCGAAAGCGTAGGCTGCAGCCCCTGCTGCCAAGAGCTACTGTGAGTGGCCGGCAGCAGTGTGAGTGATGTCCAATGGACAGCAACAGATCTGCCTCACCCGGGAAGAGCTTAATGATAATACCAACATGGGCCAGTGAAGCGACATCCTTTTCAACTAAACTGAAGAACAAAAGGACAGCAACTTGTCTGTTCCCCTTCCCCCAATGCTGTTCCCCTCCCTCAGTCCCCCAATGCTGTTCCCCTCCCCCAATTCCCCAATAAAATCTTAAAAAAGAAACCCGCCTTAATCCTGGGGGTGAAAACCAGCTGAGAAGGCGCGCCACCAACCTGAGTAGCTTTAGAGCGGAGGTCCGATGGCCCTGTACAGGCCACGGGGAAGCCCAGGGCCTGCGACTCCAGCCATCATGACCCAAGCACATGCACGCCTGTCACATGCGATTCTTGCCCATCACTAACCCCAAGCACACGCTCCCCCGTCACACGAGACTCTCGCTCGGCAGGTGTGGCTCTGTCATACACACTCTGAGGGCACACACAGCCATGGGGTCCCTCATACCTGTCTGTGACTTTGTGGTGGCCACGTAGCACTGGTTTTGAGGTAGCGACTGGTGAAGGGGTGGGAAGGGGGGTAAGAGCGGCTGTCGTCCAAAGTCAGAAATGGTTTTGCTCATCTCCTCTTTGGGCTCCTCTTGGTCTCGAGCTTCCCGAGCGTCTCTGGGGTCCTTGCCGGCTGCGTGCTTCACAACAAAGACAAGGAACAACTATGATTACGACGAGCAGATGGTCACGGGCAAGCATGTCCAAAACGCAGCTCCTGGCCCCACAAGTGCCCGTCGTCCCAGTTGTTACTGAGAGAGGACGGCGCTGTGCCTGGCCCCTGGGACACCAGTCAGTGAGTGGGCGAAGGACGTGTTTACGCTCGAGCAGCGGAGAACAGTGACCACTTGTGGCAACACCTGTGTGTTCTCGAGCTGGCCCTGCACAGAGAAAGTCTGCCAGGCCCTGCTCTCAGTAATAAACTATTCTGAGTTAAAAACACCCCAGGGCAGCACCGTAAGCTCTCCTAAGGTGCCTGCCAGCTGGTTTACCGCAGCCGGCTGCCCCATGCAACAGCCCCACGGTGCATGTACCACACGACACTGTGACAACTCCCCTGATCACAGCTGGGCCTATCTCCTAACTCTGCCTTCATCCCCAGCCTTCAAGGACTCCGGTACCTGCAATGCTGATGCCCAGCCCGGCCCAGCCTTCAGCCCAGTGGTCTCTGAACCACCAACCCCTAAAGACACTACAGTCTTGAGACAGTTTGATCCCAAACCCTATTCAATTCAACCAAATGTCCTCAGTCATGCAGTCAGTGCAATAAATAGTCAAGAAAGCAGCATCTTTCAACAAACAGGGCTGCAGAAGCTGCACACCCACACACAGAAGGGTGGAGTTGGACCCTCACTAGATACAAAAACTAACTCAGGCTGAATCAAAGACCTAAAACTAGAAAACTCTTACAAGGAAATGGGGAAAGCTTCATGACATCATACTTGACGATGAACTCTTGGGTATGAGAGCCAAAGCACAGGCCACAAAAAATAAATAAATTGAACTTTTCAAAATTAAAAACTTCTCTGCATCAAAGGACACAAACAATACAGTAAAAAGACAACAAAAGGAATGGGAGAAAGTATTTCCAAGTCATATATCTGCTAAGGAACTAATATCCAGAACATACAAAGAATTCTACGACTCAACAACAAAACAACCCAACTAAAAAAACGGGCAAAGCTGGGCCAGCCTAGTGGTTCAGTTGGTTAACCCGCCATTGGGTGCAACTGATCTCACAGATTCATTGCACACAAATTTTCAAGTATCTAATAGTTAAGTATCGTGACTCATCGCTTCTGTATCTTCCCCCTCTACCGTAACCTATCGCCAGTCATGTTTGTGACTTAGTAGAGTAAAGACATATTTCATAGTGGCATCTTTGTGTGCAATGAATCTGTGATATCAGTTGCGCCTGATGGAGGGTTAAGAGCGTGAGCTCTGAGCAACAGGGTCACCGGTTCAACTCCCACATGGATGAGTGAGCTGTGCCTGAGCTGATGTGCCGCTGAGCTGCCAACAGGTGGCAGGATGGCTCAGCTGGTGAGAGTACGTGCTCCTGACAACAAGGTTGCCAGTTTGACTCCCACATGGGATGGTGGCTATGTCTACCTGCAACTAAGATTGAACACAGCTCCTTGAGCTGAGTGGCCATAAGGTGACAACAAGTGGCCGCATGGCGATTAGACTTGGAGCTGAGCTAGCTGCCCCCTCCACAACTAAGATTGAAGAACAACAATTTGGCTGTTCCCCTTCCCCAATTCCCCAGTAAAATCATTAAAAAAAAAAACAAAAAAACGGGCAGAGCATCTGAAGAGACGTTTCTCCAAAGAAGACACACAAATGGCCAACCAGCACATGAAAATATGCTCGATATTACTAGTCATCAGGGAAATGCAAATCAAAACCAGTGAGATACCACCTCACACCCATTATAATGGCCACTATAAGAAAAAACAAAAACAAAAACCATCCAGAAAATTGTCAATTATACCTCAATTTAAACAAAACAAAAACAAGTGTTGGCGAGGATGTGGAGAAGAGAGAGCCCCCTTGTGCACTCCTGGTGGCAAAGTGAAATGGAGCAGTTGCTGTGGAAAACTGTATGCAGCCTCCTCAAAAAGCTAAACACAGAACTACCTTGTGACCCAGCAATCCCTTTCCTGGGTAGGTACCTACCCAGGTCTCAGAAGATTTGCACCCCACAACCACAGCAGCCAAGGGGTGGGAGCACCCCAGTGTCCACTGACAGAGGACTGGATAAACCAAACGGGGTCCCTCCACACAGTGGAGTGTCACTCAGCCCTGAAAAGGAAGGAGGTCCTGACACCAGCTACCACGTGGATGGACCCTGGGGACACTGTGCTCAGTGAAATGGGCCAGTCACAGAAGGACGGATCCTGTAGGACCCCCGCCACCCCCTCACAGGAGGTCCCCAGAGGAGTCAGATCAACAGAGACAGGAAGTAGCTGGTGGGGGCCGGGGCTGGGGGAGTGGGTGGGAGTGAGTGTTTAATGGGGACAGAGGGTCAGTTTGGGGAGACGAGAAAGTCCTGGAGAGATGATGGAGGTGTTGGCCACACAACACTGTGACTGCACCTAGTACCATTGAGCTGACTGTGACTGCGCCTAGTGCCACTGAGCTGACACCTGAATGTGGCTGAGAGTATGTTTTGTGTCACGTGTGTTTTACCACAATTTAAAAACAACGCGTCCTCATCTCTGGAGGCAAGGCCAGGGAGCCTCCGGGGTCCAGCCTGGGTTCAGCCCATGCAGTTAGTTTCTCAGGGCCTCCCCAGGGGACCTGCTCAGCCCGAACTCTCCAGCCCTGTGGGCCTGTCAGGACTGCGTTTCTCCTGCTCGGGGCTGTGGCGCTGTGGACACGGCCCACCCTGGAGGGCCCTGTGACAGTCCACTTCCTCCTCCAAGGACAGCCCCTTCCATAACGCCCACGAGCAGCCCGCCCTCGGCACAAGGGGCTCTGCCTGAACACGGCTCGGCAGCTCTGTGAAGAGCTTCAGTCTTCCTCAAACACACCAAGCGGTGTCTCAGTGTCTGAAGACAGGAAGTGGACACTGCTCCCTTCATGCACTGCACAGCACAGCACAGCACAGTCCTGCCTCCCCCAAGCACGGCAAAGTCACAGAGAAAAGGCACGCTCCTGGGAGTCACCCCAACACGAGGTGCCAGAGACAATGAAAGAACCATAACTCATGTCTTTGGGAGGACAGGAGAAGGTACAACTAAGAACGCAGGCTTCCTAGGGTGGCTCAGTTGGTTAAGAGCTCGCTCAAGAGTTTGAGCTCTGAGCAACAGTGGTTCGAGTCCCAGCCCGAGCTGAGCAGCCCCTGAGCTGCCAACAGGTAGCAGGATGGCTCAGCTAAAAAAAAAAAAAAAAAAAAAGAACGTAGCCTTCCTTAACTGAAAGGACTAGTCGGGGACACTGGGTATGAAAAAAACGGTTGTCAAAACTAAGAATATCAACATGTGGGGACGGCCAGTTAGCTCAGGTGGTTGGAGCACAGTGCTGATAACACCAAGGTTTCCGGTTTGATCCCCACATGGGCCACTCCCTAAGATTCAACAATGCCACTGTAGCATGAAAGGAATGTGTAACCAATGACCATGGCTGTTCCCCAATAAAAAAAAATATTGACATGTGGAATGACCAGCGAGAACATCAGAGCAAATGAGGAAGCTAGACACGAGGAGCAGGCCGTCCACGCGTGTTCCCAGACCCACAGTCAGATCCACAGGGCCCATGGGAGGGCAGCGAAGAGGAAAGCCCGTCGGCCCATGACGACGGACTATCAGCCGTAGTCAGGATGCTCAGCAGCAAAGCTGGCCCGAGCACTCCCACGAGGGCATGACCACAAACCTGGAGTTTGCACCACTAGGAGACAACGCAGACCTGGGAAAGCAAACGCAACTACGGACAGACAGACGGATGAGCTGCTGGCAGCAAAGCCCTGAGCCGGTGGCTGGGTACAAGGACAGAGGCCTGGGTGTATCTCCAGTGCGGTCCCTTGCCCCTCCCTTCTGTGACTGGACCGGACCCACTTCCTGTTACTCATTTCCAATGAGACGGTGGATGCGAAGCTGGCAGGAAAGCCCCAGGCACAAAGCAGGGAAGGAGGGGTCTCCGTCAGGCAGGGGCAGCTATGGGGACAAAGCCTGAGGAGTGAACCCACAGGGTCCCTGGCTGTGCTGCTCGTGTCCTAACCCTGCACAGCCCCAGGCCACCGCCGGTCGGGTGACCGTCGCTATCCCCTGGCCCTTCTTCTCTGTGCAGGCGTCCGTCTGCCATCACTACACCGAAAAAGGGGACAAAGGGAACAGCAAGAGCGCCACGCCAGCAGCCCGCCTGATGGGCACATTACCAGGCCCAGGGTGGGCTTCGGCATGGTCTTCCGTGCCCTGTGGACCTTGACGTCGGCGCCCGCAGCCGGGGGCTTCTTGTCCTCTGCGTCTCTACTCCCTTCCCCGGGCTTGGCTGGCACTGCGGCTGGCGTCTGAGCAAAAGCACCAGGAGTCCTCCCTCTGCCGGCCGCTGCGGGCAGGGTTTTCGCGGCATGACCAGGCAGAGCGGGCGCCGCAGCACTGGGGCCCCGCGAGGGCAGCTCCTGCGGGGCTGCTTTACTCAGTGAGAGCCCGTTGCTCCCGACGACAGCAGTCTGAGTGAGGCCGTCGGCGCGGACGTGGTTTTGCTTCCCCGCGTCAGTGTCTCTTTCTGAAATCCCGTTCTCTGCAATCCGGGTGAGTCTATTGGTACCTTCCGGGGGGCTGCCATGAGCATTTTCCTGAGTGTGCTCTGCTGTGTTTAGGTGCCTGCTGGCATCGCTCCTCTCACAGGGCCCGTTGGCTTCACCGTCTGCGGCCACGGGAGCCTCTCCTGCCAGCTTCTCGGCAGGGCCTTCATCGGCGGCCATAGAGGTCTCTGCGGACAGAGGAGAAGATGTCAGTGGCTACGCTCACACTGCACGACACCGCCAACGCAATAGCTACGATTTCACATGGAACTGAGGAAAACTTGCTTAATTCATGTACAAACATGTATGTTCAGACGGACTGAGTATAAACCGTTATCTTAGAGCCTAAATTTAGTCAGTTGGTGAAATCTGCAGAAGACCAGGTCAGAAAAGGGGAGTCTGCCCTGAGCTCAAGCCGTGGGCTGCCTGTCACCCCGCAGTCCTGCCCAGGGACACCGTCTGAGGTTAGGGGCACAAGACAAACCACGGTGCAGGCTGAGGCGCAGGCCTGGGCACGACCAAGGTGGGACATGAGGCTTACGAAGCAGCTTCACAACAGCAGTAGAGAAAACGGGTCCTAAACCCAGAAAGGGCCTTACGCTCCTGTTAACAGCCGGAGCCCCACTCTGACGTCCTAGCCCCCAAGCGTGCTCTCCAAGAGGGCTCAGTGTCCTGTAACACTCCGGCAGACCTGTCAGTGGTGAGGGGAGGTCACAATAACTGCACTTCCCATCAGGAGACCCACAAGCACGTGTGACCTCACTGACTGAAGCTCACAGGAAGGATTCCAACACAGGGTGCAGATCACACTCAAGGCTCCACCACTCACGGTCCCCGGCCCCAACTCTCTACAGGGTCTCACCTACCACGCTTCGCCAGGTATTGTGTTCCTTGTCCCCAGGCCCCTAGAGAGAAGGTAGATGAGGGCAGGGTTTTATCTGTCTGTCCCCTGCTATACCCTGAGCACATACACAGACCTTGGCACATGACACAGTAAGTACTTTCCGAATGAACACACAACGATGAATTTTGAAAAGCCCAGCTCAACACAACAGGTGGGCACTTGCTTAGCTTAGGGAAGGTGACAAAGCTCCCAGTGCAGCAAACATGCTTATTCAGACACATTAAATGAGTCCCATGTACAGTCAGAAACAACCTGAGGACACCCGCTAACACCACGAGTGCTAACACAGGGGTGGCCGCCCGGAAGGAACAGGAAGGAATGAGGATCAAGGACTGGAAACGAAGGGACAGAACCCACGTCCTCAGCATCTCACTTTTAAAGGCTGACTCAATTAGCAGCGAAAACACAGGAGCAACACAGCTGAGCTCGAAATCAAGAGAGAAAACCCACAGCTTTTTTCTACACCAGCATGAACTAGAATGTACAGGTGGGAAAAAGAAGACAATGTTCACAAAAACAGGAGAAACGGTAAGGGGTACAGAATTTTAACCAAGATTAACCAAAGCCTCCGTGGAGAAGAAAATGGAATTAAACATGTCATGATCTTCACCGGCCGAGTGGTTCAGTTGGTTAAGAGCTCACTCAAGAGTGCGAGCTCTGAGCAACAGCAGTTCGAGTCCTGGCCCGAGCTGAGCTGCCGCTGAGCTGCCAACAGGTGGCAGGATAGCTGAGCTAAAGAAAAAAAAAACCAAAAAAACCAAAACATTTCATGATCTTCAATGGATGACAAAAATACCAAGATGTCAAGTCATGTCAAATTAAATCTATAAACTCAATGATGTCCCATCGGTGTCCTCAGCACACCAAGGAAGGCCACAGCCTTATTCGGACGGAAATCAGGAAAACAGAGTAGCACAGGCTCCCGACAACAAGGGTAACGTGGGGCCGTGTGATGGAAGTGAGGGATGGAGGTGTGGCCAGAGGGTTAACGGGGGGGCCGTGTAATGGAAGTGCTCTGAGTCTTGACAGTGGTGGAATATATGAATCTACACATGTGATAAAAATGCAGAGAGAAATGGACACACAAATGAGCACTAGGAAGACTGGGGCAGACGAGTACGATTCTATCAATGTCAAGCTCCTGGTTGTGAGACTGTGCTACAGGTCAGCAAGATGTTGACACCTGTGGAAACTGGGTGAAGGACACGTGAGATCTCTATTCATTAGTTTTATAACTGCATGTGAACCTATAATTATCTCAAAATAAAGTTCAACTACAAAAGATAAACTGCAAATCTGTATACTAGCAATAAACAATTAGAAAATAAAATTTTAAACACCATTTATAATAGTCTAAGAAAGTATGAAATAATCGGGGGTGCAAGAACTGTACACTGAAAAATAAAACATGTGGCTGAGAAAAACTAAATAAATAGAGAGATTCTGCTTGTTTACACACCAAAGACTCAATACTCAGTCACACACGTGAGTCAAGCAACAGGAGTCTGATCAGGTGAAAGAAGGGTTCTCAGTGACGGGCATTCAGTCGAGATCCCAAATGGCTAATATCTTAGTTTTGAGTTATCGGAAAAGTCATGATGCATTTTTGCAATGAAAAACATAGAAAAAATACGTCATGACTTTTCCGACAACTCAATACTGGGGCTGAACTCCACCTGCTACCTGAGTAAAATTCCTTCATAACAATAACAAACCAACCTCTGATTGGAGGTTGCTCCGTTTCAGTGCTAAACATGTTTATAAACAAGCTGAGAAGAGGCCAAACTTGTCTGAAAGTTAATTTATCAAGTATCCTAGAAAAGCCCAACAATTTATTTGGGGGGGGGGAGGGAAAGATAACCAAATCCAACATCATATCCAATCCACCAACTATACTATTCAGATATTACGAGATGAAGAAATCAGGAGAATCCATAATGAAGAGTCAATGAAACACTCATGAGTGACAGAAACGCTGGAGCCAGCTGGTGTGCATGTTAAAAATAGCTATTATAGCACTGCAAATACTGAAAAGAAACTATGAACATAGAGACGCATGAGGTCTAAAGATACCCGCACTACACGCGTCCACCCAAGTGGAAGCTGTAAACATGAAAACAGAATCTGCAAGGAGTTATCGTGAGACAACACTCACATCAGACCAGACACAACAGAAAAGATCAAGGAACCTGAAGACACATCACAGACTCGATGCAAAATTAAGCACAAAGAGAAGAAAGGCTGAGAAGTGAATCAAGACTATCTGAACTGTGGGATTATTTGAAAACAGTCTAACTTACTCCAACTTTGCAGTGTCCACAATAGGAGGAAGTAAAAAAAATGTACATCTGAAAATACAATGGCTGGAAAATATTTTTTGCCAAATATTTACCAAATTTGATGAAAATGATAAAATCAGTGAACAAAAGCAGCTTACTGAACTCCAAGCAAGATAAGCACAAACAGACCAAAGCACAACATAATCAAACTGCTGAAAATCAGTGATAAAGTCTTAAGGCAATCAGATAAAAGGAGACAACACATGCAGACAAAACAGTTAAGAATGATTCCACATTTCTGGTTAAACACTAAGCAAACCAGGAAGCCATGCAATGTCTTTGAACTGCTGGAGGAAAAACTGTTCTCCTAGAATTCTATACCCAACACAACATCCTTCAAACAATATTTTCAGACAAACAGAAGCTGAAAAAATTAGTCACCAGCAGAAAACCACATCAAACAATGTTAAATACAGTTCTTCAAGTGGTAGGAAAATGATACCACATGGAAACTCCTCTACAAAAAGGAATTAAGAGTACCAGAAAAGAGGGCCAGCCGAGTGGAGCATTGGTTAAGAGTTGGTTTGAGATGCCAGCTCTGAGCAGCAGGGCCCCGGTTCGGATCCTACATGAGGGCCAGTGACGCTGCGCCCTCTACAGCTAAGATGGTGAACAACAGCTCGACTTGGAGCTGGGCTGCTGTGAGTCACTGGCGACAGCGTAGGCTGCAGCCCCTGCTGCAGTGGGCTGCCATAAGCTACCGTGTGTGGCTGGCAGGCAGCATGAGTGGCCGGCAGCCCGTGTGAGCCAATCTGCCTCACTTGGGAAGAGTGCAATGATAATACCAACATGGGCCAGTGAGGCTACGTCCTCCACAGCTAGACTGAAGAACAAAAGGACAGCAACTTGTCTGTTCCCCTTCCCCGAGGCCCCAATAAAATCTTAAAAAAAAACACCAAAAGTACCAGAAATGATAAACATGTAAGGAAATATAAGAATTTACTTTCTCACTAAAAATTTTTGTTAAAAGAAAACTGAATGCTTGAAGTAATAAACACAGTAACAATGTATATTGTGGTTTATAACGCTTGCGGAAGTAAAATCTGGAATAGTAGTGGCAAAGGACAAGAGGAAGAAATGGAGTTAATTATGTTTAAAGTAATGCATTACACACAGAGTTGCATAACAATTTTTAAGGTAGACTGACTTAAGGTGAATACTGCAAGCCCAACAGCAAACAATGAAGATAAAGAAAGGGGTAAAGCTAGTAAGCCAATAGTGCAGATGATAAGGAAAAGAATCATAAAAATTATTCAGCTCAAAGGAATGTAATAACAGAGGGACGAAGAAACAAAGGAAAAAAGGACAACATGGTCCAATTAAAACAAAACAAATCTATGACCTAAACACTCCAATAAGAAAGCAGAGACTGTCAAGCTGGATAAGAGAGTGAGGCCCAATTGTACGGTGTCTATAAGAAACCACTTTAAATGTGTTTTAAAACACAGGTTAAATGTAAAAATATGAGAAAAAAATATACCATACAAGTCCTAAACAAAAGAAAGCTCAAGTGACTACATACACATTAAACTGAGTAGATTTCAGACAAACGGACATTAACCCTCCATCGGGTGCAACTGATCTCACAGATTCATTGCATACAAATTTTCAAATATCGAACAGTTAACTTAACACATTGAAGATGGGGCATTTAAATTGTTTAAATGCATGTTCCCGGG